CGGGGGGGGGGGGGGGGGGTACTCATAGTCGTGCATGCCGTAGTCGTTTGACCATTGACCTCGCATCCCTACAAAGCCGGGACGGAGCACGCCGGGTTCTCACCGGACCAGGCTCTCACATCACCAAGCGCGAAGCGCCGTGAGGTATTCGGCGAGTCGCATGAAGGGTGAGCTGCATCCTGCTAGGGGTGTTCGGCATCTTGTGCTTACTTCCTTGCGTACGGATGACAGCTGCGTATGACTTAATTTATTTTCTGGTGCTTTCACTTCCAGAGACAGTTGTAAGCACTGTGTAACTGCCTCGAGGATGCTTGACCATTTTAACACCACGTGGTGCGATCATCCCCCGTTGCGCGGAGTGAGGGTTCTCCACCCCGCACAACATGATCTACTCGACCGCCATTATGGTTACCGCCCAAAAAAGAAATAGATGAAAAATAAACAACGGGAACCTGGTTGTCGAGTTCACGAAGTGAATTGGCTTGTTTTACAACGTCGTTGTCAAGCGACGAAAACCCAATCCCGATGGCAAACACCGGGGCGGGCGGCATGTTTTACAACGTCGTTGCCAAGCGACGAAAACCCAACCCCGATGGCAAACACCGGGGAGGGGGGGGGGGGTGGCCTACGTGTCCGGAATTTTTTTCCGCGTGTAACCCTTGTTTCAGGTAGGAGTTACAGCGAGAGAGAGAAAAAGAGCCCGCAGTTTTTCTGATTGGCCAATTTTTTCGGCCGGAAATTTCCTTCAAAAGAAAAATCATGGTCGACGGGTGACGACCCTCACGGTCATGGGGCCGCCTTTCGGCGAAATTCAAAATCTAGATTTTTCCCGTGAGTGACAAGTTGAGTTGGTTGATGGCAGCTTCCTCAATGAGTCACTCGCGGGAACCGCCGACCTTACCTTTTTGTGCCCTGGATGAACTCATTTATTTATCACGTGCTTGCCTGGTGGTGGTCAACCGTCCATTCCCACCCCTCTTATGGTGATATTTTTGTTGCACCCACACGACACGACAGATCGATGTCACTAGCACCACCATTCACTGATGCTCGAGTAAATTTATAGCCAAGCGAGAAAAAAGATATTATGTAACGTGTCAACAAGGAGATGGCAAGGTCGTCTTCGACTGCTACTGTGCCATCACAACCCTCTATCATCACCACCAGCCATGGATGGTGCTACGTGGAGCAGACCAAGCCGCCCGTACATACCATGAGTGATAAAGACCCGCGCGCAGCTCATCACTGGAGGCATTTCAAGAGGATTCACCCGAACCAAAAGCGGAACTCTTTTTTTTTTTTAGCCTGCTCTCTTGTCGCTTTTAATTCAAATTGGCTCCGTCATCACTCGAAGGGAGAGTTGCCAAATCAAGCTATCACACCACTTGGTTGGGTGGGTTGAAGATCTCAAAATGTTATCTTCCTCGCGTCTTATCTCGGGTTTCGTAGTATGGAGGCTGGTAGACAGCCAAACAGGGAGCTTTCTCTCTATTTCCTGTTTCAACACACTTTTTTGGGGCACACGCCTCTCCCCATTATTTTGAGGGGGCGATGTGTATTCTGTGGATCCCCCCGTCCAGAGTCCAGAAGGCAGACCGCACGGAACCCCCGCGCTTGGGGTACCTTGGAGACTCGGCTCACACAATTCATTCGAGATGCCCCGCTGTGGCAGAGTTGACGATCATCCAAGGCCAGGATACTGCCTATAGTCACCAGCAGCAGATCCCGAAGGTTAGTGCACAGAAAGAAGGAGCGGTATTCACGTACCTCTCCATGTACTACGTCCCCGATTTGCGGCCTCCCGAGGTTTCTGTCGATGGCCAGCACAAATACAACGACAGGAGCTCTCACTCCGTTGCTATACTTAGCCTCAAGCAGCAGCGGCGGCCTGTTCTCTCCATCACACACCGCAGATGTTCAAGCCATACATATTCACACAACTCTTCCCCTGTGGCTTGTCGAATTCACTCTTTCACCGCACCATGGTTGAAACAGGGTGTTGGAATGTCACACAAAGAGATAATGACAACGTAGTCTGCACAGACTTGTGTAGATAGCTGTCGCGCACGTGTGGCGTCGGCGTGGTACTTGACGCGTGAACAACATTCATTTACACTGGTTCAACCCGTACTGTTCGTAGCGATCAGGCGCGTTTCGACATCATCACCTTCAGATTGTTGTGGGACGACCCCGAGTGGAGCGTATAGCGTTATATACCGTAGACGACGCAAGATAACACACCCACACAAGAAACCACCCCCACACACACAGAAAACAACACCCCAGTGATAATTTTGGGCGTTTCTGACAAACCATCGATTTATCACCGGGGCTACATAAGATAACACAATCCTTGAGGTTACGCCGCATACATTCACGGGGCCCCTCCTTCGATCACCGTGGCGATACAGCATCTGCCCCGTGGGCATGCGGGCATCGTACACACACACAGAACATCTGCGAAACTCTCTTTTGGTCGTACCCAATAGCAAGGTATGCAACAGCTACTTTTTGTGTGAAGGAGCAGGACGGTCGGCGCATTCTGTGGCCACCGAGGTCATGTGTTCAGGAGTTTTGTCTCCTTCGCTGAGCCCCATTGTTTTTACAACATTCCGCAGAACCACAGGTCATGAAGTGTTCGTACAGGCATTGCTATCACACCCCCCCGCAATACCACACCCCTTCAAATGTGCGGCAGCAGTGGTTCAACTCTACAAGCAGTGTTATTTCACCCCATATTTTTTCACACACCCTCATTATTACACCCCCAAACACACCCTGTGCGTGTTCGGACGTGCAATCACACCGCCTGGTTTATCACACCCCCTTAGGGGCCCGTGCGAGCTGCACTTTATCACCCGGGCTACATAAGATACCACACACCCCACAGAATACCAAACCCGGTGAAAATATTTTTAAAGCCCAAAATGTTATCACCGGGGTGTGTTGTCTTAGGTCGTCTACGATATGATCAATAGACACATGGGGGGCGCCAATCCCATTCACTGGATTCCGTATCCAGGAGAAACAGGATGGACAACAACACCCGTCGACGAAACCAAACACCGTTTGCTTCCGCGCATCCCACTGCCTGCTTTCAAACACCAGGACCGATGGGACACCCCAAGAATACGCCACGGAAGCGGGGGTCACAGGACGACTGGACCACGCCACTTGGCAATTATGTAAGAGCGGCGAATGACATACAGACGCACACAGAGAGATCTTCGCTGTACTCAACAGGCATACGAACATAGTCCGCATACAACGCTCATGGTACTCCCCCGTGTGCACCTTCTTATCTTACATCCGATAGGCCTTCGACTCACCGGTGAAGCCGAGAAACGCGTCCACTCGACGCCCTCCGTTTTCCCCCACCTCGCCCAACACGGGCAGAACGCCTCCCAGAGCACGGGTGAGAAGGATCAACGCTGCGTAGCTGTACTTAGTTCCCCAAGATCCACTAGGCGTTTTGATTCGGCATTGCTTAGGGGTTTTCAGCACATGTGCACTCTTCTCTGTATGTGTTTTGTAGACAGATGGCCTCCCTGGTCTGCTCCATTCACGCCATCCCATGTAGCAATATCTCACGCCGATGCTCTTTCTGTCTCACCCCAAGTTCGCCTTCCGTCATGGGATACAGAATGCAACATGTTTTCAAAATGGTGGCCGAGCCTACGAAAGTAGAATGGGGCCGTTCTCTTGCAAGCAGATAATAAGCGGGTTGTGTTGTGCGTGTCATTTTAGGCTGATTCCAGGCGGACAGAGTGACAATGACGAATGATTGCGCCTGCGAGCAGGAGATGGAAATATTCAGAGATTGTGTGAAGTATGTGGTTACGGGTCGAAAGACAGTGGTGGTAGTGGGTCCCGGAAGGGATATCGTAAGCAGACAAATTAGCACACATATTCCCGCTCAAACCATCCAACACGCCTCACAGGGGATTTCCACCCCCCCACACACACACACACCCTCACACACACTCTTCGCCCTGGATCTGACGCCAAAATAATGAACGCCATTATTATTGTGACTCCAAAAGGAAAGGCATGCCATTATACTTATGTAACAATCTCGAGGAACATATGGGAGACGACTGTTAATTGTGAACTCCGAGAATATAGAAAAATGCAGAACCGATTCTCACGGGCCTCCATGTACGACGTTGTCATACTCGTGCAATCTGCCCGATAGTCAACGAAACGCCTTCAACTCGTCGACAACGATGGCGACGACAGCGTCTGGAGTCTTCCGGAGGAGGAAAGCGAGGGTGAACAGGTGAACGTGGGTACACGAAGGACCCCTATTTCCCGCCAAAACCACAGCGCCTGGGCTCTGTGGCTCAAGAACCCCTATTAATCTCGTTTTATCCCTCGCGACACTCTCAACCACCTGCAATCGTACTTTTACTCTGTCCGGTATGTTTTTACCCCCAGGCTCAGACAGCGAGCAGGACAACGCGAGTTCGGCGGCGTCAGCCGCGCCCACGCGTCGGAAGCGAAAGGCAAAGATCAGATTTTCATTCTTTGTGTGATATTTGCCTCTTCATTGATACGTTACGCCGGCACAATTTACCCCGGCTACCGACCTCGCCCCCCCCCGCCCCCGTTTGCACGCCTGCACTCTCACACACTCTCCACACATTCCACCGTTCGTCGTGGATCTCACACCAAAATGATTAATGCTAGGTTTTGTGTGGCTCGAGCAAACGCGCACGATTGCGTGAGAGGAAAGGTGGGGGTCGTGAAACTTTCTAGTATTGTGAGATCGACGGAACGTCCTGAATGGGTGATTCCATTGATAGGACGTAATCCGATCTCATGAAGAATCGTAATCACTTTTGACACACAACAACAGGTTCCGGCGGCAAAGGGGGTGTCGTCCAAGAAACCCAAGTGTGGCGGGGGCAACCCGTGGGCGAAGAAGCTCAAGAAGGACATCATCGTCGACACAGACGAAAAGCTTACTCTCGTGGAGCTCGTTACAGACCTCGTGTCTGGTGTCGCAGAATCGTGCGACAGGCGGAAGATGAGCCAGGAGCTGAACGAGCTGGTTGCGGAGTACGAGCAGTCGAAAGCCAATCGTCCCGTGGAAGGGCGGTCTCTTTTCGCGCTCATTGGCAAGAAAGGTGCCCAGACCACCGAACAGCGACTATCAGTGGCCAACATGAAGGGGAAGCCAGAACTACGGAGGTTCATTCTCGACATCGAAGAATCGGTATCATCAACAGGGTGAGCCAGGCCTGTGCCTTCGCCCGGCCGGCAGGAGCGGGCATGCCGGCACACAGGGACGGCATCCACCTGGGGCTCGACCGTGTCGTGTTTACCCTACTGTTTGGCCCCTCTGACAAGCCCCCCATGTTCGAAATGAAGCTCGTGTCCGGGGCTAATGCCATGGCGGCAAGGGGGCCATACGGGCCGGACAAGCACCAAATCCCCAAGGAGAACGGGCGGGTTATTGTGCAGGAGCCCCTGGCTAGGGGAGAGAATGCACGAGTAGTTCATGGAGTGGAGGGAGGGGACGTGGGGTCTCTCACATTGGTGGTGGAATACTACACCAAGCGGACCGATGGACAACCTAGCACGGACGAGGACCGCGACAGGGCCCGCCCGTCGGTGGTGGACCACGCCGCCGCCCTGGTGCCTCTGGGTGGAGCTATCCTCATCCCCTGCGCCGACAGGCTCGTCTTGATCGACAACACGACGAAGTCACGCAAGGGGACGGAGGCGAACAACGCCATGGTGATCGACCCCAGAAGCGGGGAATGGGTCAAGGCCACAAGACTGAAAGGTGAAGATCATAGCTCGTGCCGCCCATCGTGGTCACTGCTTCTTGTTTTCTCGCGTGGGCCGAACTTGTTGTATCATCGCCAGACAGATTTTTTGGCCCATTCTTATTCATCCATCCCTTGCTGTCGTTGTTGTTGTTGTTGTTGTTGACGACGATGGTCAGGCCAAGAAGCATCACGCCTTCCTACCATGCTCACAACGATTGAATGGCGCGAATATTTCCTAGCGTATGCTCATCGTTTTCAGTGACATTACTCCCTGTGGTCTAGTTACTTCCCATTCATCCCATGTGCACCGACATTCCCGGTGTGCCCCTCCGTGAGTGTAATCCCCGGTATAACTGCCCCCCTTTGGTCAAAATCTTGTTGTATGTACGTGCGACCATAGGCAAAGCAGGCGGCCCCAAAAGCAACTTCGGCAAGACCAAAGGCGAGACCGTGGCGGGCGCGAAGGCGCGAGAGGCGGCCGCTTCTGCAACCTTCGACGCCGCCATGACCGACGAAGAGGCAGCAGAGGCGAAGCAGAAGCTGGACAACGCGACCAAGAGGCACAGGGTCACCGAGCCGGCTAGGGCCGACCAAGCCAAGGGCGGTAAGCTGGAGGGATATTCGTACGAGCACGGTGTTGTTGTTGTTGTTGTTGTCGTCGTCGTCGTCGTCGTCGTCGTCGTCGTTGTTCTTGATGCCCCGCTCCCCATGTGCTCACCGCATCTCCGCTCCCTCTTTGTGATGCTACCAAGGCGTGCGATTTGACCCCTTGAATGAAGCTGTGTGGTCTCTGGGCCGAAGATTCGATTGTCAGCTTATCGTTGCCTCTGTTGTTGTTGTTGTTGTTGTTGTTGTTATTGTTGTTGTTATTAGTATTGTTGCCTTATAGTCGAGTCATTTTCGCCCTCCCTTTTTCGTGGGCGGTGCACAACATTTACGCTCGGCATCCCGCTCCCTGCCCCATTGGATGTGTTGACACCAAGACGTGCGGCTTGACCCGTTGGCGGGAATGTTGTCTGGCTTATTATGCTTGTGTTGTTGTTGCTGTTGTTCTTGTTGTTGTTGTTGTTGTTGTTTCGAACGCGTCCACTCGCTTGCTCGTGTGCCCCGCGCCCCGTGCACTGAAAGCATCACCGCTCCCCTTTCCAAGTGCCATCAAGGCATGCAACGGAATCGTTGAATGAAACATTGCTAGATTTACAGTCGAGCGCGATAGATTACGCCCGCAGCGGTTGCATGAGTAGATTGAAATACCTCCCCCGCCTGTTGTTGTTGTTGCTGTTCTTTCCTAAACCGACCCCCTTCAATCCCCGTGTCTACTTGGACTACCCGGCTTTCACTCATCGGCCCAGGCGCCGCGAGTTCAGGCACGGACTGCAACCAAGGTTGGCGCAGGACCCAATGAGAACAGGGCCGCCAAGAAAAGGAAGAACATCCCTGTCGATACGGGCGATGAGGGGGCGGAGGAGGCCAGCAGCACCCGCGCTTCCGAGCCCCTCAAGGAACTGGATCTTTGCCTGGGGCTCTCTTCGGACGGTGATGGTCTGGTCGCAAAGCTCCAGGGCTTGATCAACCTGGAGACGGGCGCCATTCTGGCCGACTCTTCGCTCTGGTGTGGCAAGCCGAAGTTCGAGGAGCGTGGGCTCACTCTAGGTGACGGCTTGGCAAGAAGACGAAACCGGATGCCTGGTCCTTGGCTACCATAACAGCAACGCCCGCAAAGGAGAGACCCCCAGGTGCTATGCCAGCACGGTCCCCGTGGTCAAGGTGGGCAAGGAGTGGCTCGTGCCGGAGTGGGCACTACGATACATCAGGGCGGGGAAGGTCGTCCAACAACAAACGCCACAATGGCGGCAAGAAGAATGCGCGGAAGTAAAATGGCGGGGTTGTCGTTGCCGCGATGTTGATACCATACCATTCGTAGATGAAGTCTGTCAGGTCATAATTGAATGGGTGGCCAGCTTACTTAGCACCCCCGTCGAGTTGCTGATAACTCAATCCGGTCATCTACCCCCGTACCTAGTAGAACGGGCTGTGGGACGGATCTCTACTGTCGGTGCAAAGACTGCGCGAAGTCTATTCACAATACAGTGTGCGCGTAGACTTCAAATGCTGAATTTCAGACGGCAAGATTGTTTGGTCTGCCTGTAATATCTACTCCGGAATGTAGATATACATGTTGGATTGCGTCGTGCAAGTTGACATCGACGCGGTGTGTCACTTCGCTACCGTGTACAATTGATTGCTGCCGATACCAATTTAGAAAAAGAAACACTTGGTTGGTGCCGGCGTTGTCAACGAATCATATGCACACACCGTCATTTATGTTCCGGACGTGGGGTAGAGAGAGAGAGAGAGAGAGAGAGAGAGAGAGAGGAAGGGAGAGAGAGAGGCAGTATTTGTGTTTCTTTACGTTACCGTAGACTATGTATATCCTCACTCGGAGGTGGTTTTGGAGGTAGTATCACGAAGGATGTATGTGGGATTTAGGCAGTCGCACGCAATTACAGATTGCTATGACGGAAGTATCATTGTATCCTTGGGCGGTGTGTTTTATTGGGTGCCCTGTGCTCTACGACATGTTTTGTTCAGAAGAGCATGATTTCGACAGTTCGATGGGAAATATATGTACGAAGTGATATATTAATCGTTGTAAACTAGACTCCCACAGAAGACGCATTTGGTGCTGAAAACACGATCACTCGGGGCTTCCGTGTGGTCTCGGAACTTGGATTTCGGCAGTTAGTTGCATTCGAGGTGATTTGGTCCACGAAAAGGCGTTGCGTGTTGCATACATACGAGGAACGAGTGCTTGGGGCCTTAGTTCTTCTTATGCGTGTGTGTACCTGTCCTTTATTATATTGGAGTAAACGTCAGGGTGTACCTGACGTCCAAAAAAACGATACGAATTGATTTGAAGAGTTACTGAGCTCGTGCGGCACGTTTCTATTGTGTGGCTATCATGTTGTTGCCGCTGTCCGATGTATCAAAGATATTCAATTAGGAGCTTTCAGGGCACATTAGGACTAGGGTTCGCCGTGTTGTCTACGCACATTACGGGGTTGAATAGACAGGGGGGCGCTTCCCCTGTCGGGAAACAACAGTGCGGTTACGCAGTCAAGGAGAAAAGGAACATATTGATGATGACGATGTTAGTGGCTCGAAGTCACACCGTCCACTGCCTGAAATGAATGTCCTGGATGTCTCTCACTTTCACAACCGCGCAATTCCGGCTTAAGGCCGGCGAATTCCGACCACCACGAGCAACTATTACCCATTTACCCAAATCAAACTCTTGCCCCGTGAATACATTATGACCAATCACTGCGTGGAGCGTCTTCAAATCGCTGAACGCACGAAATCGGACTTCATCAGGAAGAAGCATTCTGGCGTACAAGTTAGCTGATTTACTATATCGATGGCTTGGGCGGGCGTTAGACGGGATGCATATCTTCACTCCGCGCAACCGTTTGACACCGGCTGTAAAGTGTTCGTATTCACGCAATAGAGGTATCCGGTAGGTGGTTCCTCCCTGGCATCCCTCAACACTAACAACTTCTCATCTACCTCGTGAGTACTGTGACTACTCGGCGAAAGTTGGACAGGGCTGCCAACAAGTTCTGGCAGCCCTAACCCCGAAGCAAATGATAACGCGCACGCTAGTTCGAAGTAGTGTGCTCTGGGATTTGTTATGATTGCTCCCATGAGATTGATAAGGTCGCTTGCGTTCACTGTGATGTTTTTGTCGCACTTCGCTGCCACGACCTCTCGGCGTCTTTTCCTTGGAAGGCTCTTTTCCTCCTGTTATGGGATTTGAATGTAGCCAGTGCCAACGGTATTGCGGAGTAATTCCCAGAGGAAAGTGCGGGAGATGTACACTCCCGATGGAAGGATAAAACAGGGGACAGGACCTTTGTGGCCCCTTTTAGAGGGAGCATGTCCTCCCCCTCTGTGCTCAGTCTACCTTTGAGAGCAAAGCAACAGCAAGCACTGCTGTTCCAAGAGATTAATAAACAAGTGAGTCTTCATCAGGGTCTTCAGGGATCGCTACGCGTGTAATCCCACAACATTTGGCGTGTCTGCAGTAAAGGATTTTAGCCTTCCCTCGGCTCTTTGGTTTCTCAGTTGCTAGCGTGAGAGCTCGTTTTTGCTCCACTGGCTATACATCTCTACCGCGCGGTCTTGCTCCTGCTTTCCTTTCTTGGTATGTCTCATCGTAGGGACGGCAGCGAGGACTCAGAGTCCGCCAGCCCTGCCAGTTCTCGGAAGTCGGTTCCTCCCCCACCGCCTGGTTCGCCAGAGGCGCTGCCTGCTGTATCACATGTTGATCCTGCAGTCGCCTCTGTCTTTTTCGACCACGCTCTGTATGCACTGCATGATGGTGTTGGTGCTCGCGCCGCTGATCCTCAAGAAGAGGCCGCACGTCTGTCTGAGCTTCGCGCTGAGGCCAGACGTGTCCGCTCTTTCCAAAAGGATGAGCGTGCTCGTGGGGCTATAGCCCCGAGCAGTGTGCGTGCGCGTAAACCGGCTGCTCCCTTTGTATCCACTGGTTCTGCTGTTGATGCCGTTCATACCCCCACCGGAACATCTCCGTCTCCTTTTGAGACTGCTGTGTCTGGTGATGATGTGGTGGTCGCCACTGGTTCCGCTTAGTAGCCACTCACCCCTCTGATGTGCGTTCAGTCGCAATAGGAGCTCTTCTTCAACCCTCCGATGTGCGTTCAGTCGCAATAGGACCGACACTCGCTTCGCGTGAAGTGTCTCTTGTCCCGTCTTTTGCTGACGGGACTGTCATTTTCTGACGCTGTACAACACCCCTCCGCACTCGCAGTTGCACCTAGCAGCTCTAGTTAGTGCTCGTTCTGATGTGCGCTCAGCCGCACCAAGGACCATCAACACCTCCCGAGGTGTGCGTTGCGATACGCCTGCTATTAACCATGTAGCAAAATCGCAGATCCCTGTTAGAGAAAACAGCACGGGCGCTCGGTCGGTGCATACTGATGCTACATGTAGTGTGACCGCCGCCCCGAGTGTCCGCTTCTCAGAGTTATACCTCTAAGAGAACAGAGCAGGCGCTTGCTCGTGATAATCGTCACCAGGCTCGCAATGCACGCAACTCGGGAACTTCGATTCAGCAAAAAACACTTCAATTTGCAATTGCTTTTTGCTGCACCCAATATCGAAGCCTCGCTTTTCCGGGCAGAGAAAGCCCCATCGTGTTTTTTCCTGTTGACCAATCAGCGTCTTTGGCCCCTGGCACCCCCCCGAAACTTATTTTTTGCATGGCCTCAATTTAGGTGCAAATTTTTCAAGTTACAACAGGCCTCAAGTGTGGAAGGGATGAATCTGTGACTTGTGAGGAGAGAAAAAAAAAAAGACGGCTGCCGTTGACCGTAACTCAAAAACACTTCCAGAGAGCGCTCTCGAGGGTGCGAATTGCACGACGAGAAACGCCTGGTCTACATGAATCAACACACGCAGATTGATTTGTGCTCGTCAACGGCTCCTATCCCAAAACGTACAACACTCCTCCTGCTGGCGCTGCCTGTGTGTTTGTGGGTGTTACATGTATGTAGCGGCCGAGTTGGTGCGGACCGCCACGCCTCTGAAATAGTCCCAGCAGAGGAACTTTGGTTGTCTGAATGCTACTGTTGCATGTCGTATGGTGAAGACACATCGACATGGAACAGGGAATAGGCAGTTCTCTGTTCCACGCTCCCTGATCATTTCGGTGTCAGGTGCTCTATCTCTCCCTGTCCTTCTCCAACTGCCGCAGCACAAGGGAGAGATTATCCTCTTCGGCCAACGCATTTTGAAAGACTAGGGTGTACTGCTGTACCATAATCACCTGGCACCCATCGTACCTTTCACGGCGAATCCTACTGCGCGCGAGCCGTGAGCTGCGAGACATCGGCCCTTGTTACCAGTGCGCGGAGCTCCGAGATGTCAAGGGTGTGCTCTTGTGCCGGTGAGCATGTGACGAGGCGCAACTTCCGCGCGCGGGGGCACGCAGATGACCTCAGGATACGGTACCTCTCCTTTCAAATTCAAAATTTAAATTCAAGACCTGACCAAACCTGACATTCTGAGAGATCCTGCGTGTGCAGCACTGCTGTGTAGGGGTGGTGGCCCGTTTCAGCACCCCTATCCAGTATTTGTGTGACAGGAAAGCATCTAGGAACTACTGCGGGCAGGTCTCTATGGCCGGTATAGTAGGCTATTACAGCAGGGTTGCAGTGATGCCACGCGGTGTTGTGTTGTGTCCGCCTACACAGGGCATGCTTGCATGTCGGGGAACAGGGGGTCGCTAAAGCGGGTCAGCTACACTGCTGTCACTGCCGTACAGTAGAGGTCCTTCGTTTAGGCATACGGTGGGCGCTTGGCTCCACAAGCAAGGGCGGCTCGCCTAATGTAGCAAAAAGGTGGCGTAGCTTCTGGTGTGCGTGTGGAGCCGAACCTCATCCACCACACTCAAGAAGGCTTTCTCTGGCTTCCTAAAACTCCGAACGAACGACTTGTATTTTCCGACTTGACTGCAGTATACTTGAGGAGCGGAATCCTACAGCAGTACATAAATCACTCCCTTCGACGAGCCCCCAAGGAATAAACGTCAAATCAACAAACCCGCTGAGCACGTACCTAACGATCGCTGAATATACAAGGTTACCACCTCTTACTGACAACGCGGCTCAAAGAACCAAGGAATTAAACGCAAACAACGCTGCGGGGAGCAAACCGCCCGTCACGTGTGCGTAGGAAAGCTAGGAAGTGTTGGTGCCTATTTGATGATGTTTTCACTCTACTCGCTCTACATGTATGAATGCCTATGAACCAAATTATAATACAATATTGTAGTTAACCCCCACGAACGAACCCGCACCAGGAAACAGAAAGAACGCAGTGCGGAGAGGACGAAGAGCAAAACATCTTTGTGATGTACTGTAATCCCGCCAGCATCGAAGGTCTCCAACCGCGTTGATTCAGCGTGATAGGGTGTTGACGAAATAGTTCTCGACAGAAAAGGCTGTTGGGATCGACCAACAAGCCTCAAAGCAAAACCGGCCCACGAACAGCTAGCTGAAGAGACATTCATTCTACGTAGCAAGGGAACCGCTCCTGAAACGTCGCCCGTCTCCTGTGTCCACCGACCACAAACCGGAATCCCCGCTAGAGCGAGCCATCAAGGAGCGAAGAGCCTAGCGAAAAAGTCGTTGACGAAGACGCCGTTCGGGTCGAACTGCCTCGACGCGTTCCGAAGGTAGGGCAACCGAGAGGCGTAGGCCTTTTTTATCTTGGCGTCTGCTCCGGCGACGTACGCGTCGCTCCACTTGGCCCAGTGCGGGTAGGCAGCCTGGGAACCGTCCTGTCAAGGCCAAGGCAAGGCAAGAGACACCACAGCAACCACTTGTAAGTCCACAATCAGCCAAGGACATTCGAAACCCAATCACCTGTGTCGACGTCCGCACAGGTTGGATCCAAGCTTGCAAAGGCGGTGCTTTGACGTGCATATCAAACTCTTCGAACAAGATATACAACGCCTTGGGGCGTGGTTGGCCCCGCACCCATGTCCAATAGCCCAGGTGCTCCGCGGTTGAAAACATGTCCGTTAGGAGGGAAAGATACTAGCAATGTTCCTACCAAAGGAGGCGCGTGCGCAAGGGGCGTGTAGACGGGACTCGTGTGCATGCAGGGAAGAGGTAACGTTGGATGGAGCGACTGCCACCCTAACGAGTGAAGTGTTGTCCCACAAGCGTCACGAGTGTCACAAAAAATATCCCAAAGCACCGACAACTTCTTGAGGATACGGAAACTGATCAACAAAAGTGTCAAGGAAGCGCCTTACAACGGCGGAAACGAAACGGCCAACAAAATACCGCGGCACAAAACATTTCTTGCGGCGTTGAAGATTCTCGGGACGTTCCCAAGTTCCACAAACCAGACCAAGCATATCGGCAACAGGTGCTGGTCCTGAACTTTGCTGAGCGACTTGAAAGGTGCCGCCAGCTACCTAGGAGCAAGCACGTGGTATTAATTGCCCTGCAGGTTGGTCGAGGTACGGCTGCAACAGCGCTAAACATACCTTGAGCCTGATGGCAAGCCAAGCATCGGCGACTCTGGTGGTGAAGTCCTTCAGCCTTGGAGTGCCGGCCGCGGACAGCACCTCTAGCCACATGAAAACGTCTCCCTGTCAAAAAGGCGAAGCAAGGACCGACAGCGGTAGCAGCGATGTTCGACACCACACAACATTGGAGGATGAAAAAGGTGAACATTGGAAGCCCTCCCCGGGCAGCACGTCGAGGACTAAAAACGACAGGCGCTCACCATCGTAGCAACAGCCCGACTTTCAAAGTCGATAAAAACGACAGCAGTGGTAGCAGTAGCGCCAAAAACAAGACCGACACCAACGCCAACGCCACACCACCAAGCGAAACAAATGGGAACAATACCATCACCTCCTGGACATATGATACGGGGAGGCGGCTTCTCGGTGATAATGGTAGGTGAAACAATTAAGCACGTCACCGATCGAACTGTACGGCAGCAGGAATCAAACAAGACGTGTCAGTAACGCTAGCGTCAGCCACGCCAAGCAAGCTGTACCAAAACGCCAGCAACAAGGGAAGTAATCCCAAGGGATCAGTCACCTCCTTGCCGTAGGCCGGTGACAAGGGGCTGTTGCTGTGCTTGGTCATCCTCAGCTCCATGGCCACGTTTAGCGGGAGGGTGTCTTCCTCCTCCGCGAACGTCTTGGTGATGCCGATCGCGGCATGAATCGCTTTGTACGCACTGGAGTCGGAGTGAACGGCGAGCGAATTGGGTTGGGAATTCTCGCGAAGGGATACAAGAGCGTGTCTCCCCGTAGGCAGACGTTTACGATGTCAACAGATGGTATCGACTGACCAGCTCCCGACGCGATTCGAGTGTGGGCAAAAATGTTGGAAGCGACAGCGCCTGGACAAGCGCTCTGACAGGACAGGAGTCTTTGACCTACTCGCAAGCCAAGTGTTCTTTACAACAGCGGCAAGCAAGAAATCACACGTAATGTTGTCAGGTAGACCGGTTCATGGGTTCCCGCACCTGGTGAAGTCCGGGTCGCACTTGATGCACACCTAAGGAAAAGGAAACGACGAAGGCACGTATTGGTATTGTATGCTGTCATCGTGGAAAACGCGTCAGCCGCAACGGTTGCGTCGAATGCATTATCGCAGTGTCCCCTAACATCTGGATCGGCTATTCTGGTGTGACATCTACCGTGCAAACAAGGTATCCGGCATGCCGTTTACGGAGAGTATAGCGGGGCCAGTCCGTTTAGTGTCTCCTCTGTTCGATAAAAACCGCAAAAAGTTTCTGGTTCCAAATGTTGCACGCGGAAGGAAAACATGACAGGAATCACATACTACGGTGGCGAGCTATGTCTGCCATTATCTCAAAACAAGCTGTAAGACATGGAAACGAACGCCGGACATCAGGTTTGACAAAAGGAGACTATCAGGTTGCAACAGCTGACGCCGATGTTTCAATAGCCATTGCACCGACGAGAGCACACCAACACGAAAAACAACCAAGTCCTGGCCGGCAGTGCTATTCCCACGCAAGCAATCGTTCTGCATCACATATGAGACCAGCACCGTGGGGCGCATCGGGCTGTCGCCTGCTCCCGCCTCAAGCGGTTTACATGTCAGTCAGAAACTATTTGAAACCGGGGAGGGGCAAACTCCACCCCGTGTCTGACGTGTACACAAACGTGCGTGGAGGAGGAACGGCGAGTATGTTACGTAGTCTAGGTCTCACGTAGAGGACACCTTACCTCCGTGTCCGACGTGGGGTAGCCGTCGGAGATGTACTTCTGCCAATGAATTGCCTGGAAGATGACAATCGACGACGAACGCAAGCAAGCGCCGACAAATCGATCAAATTGGGTACATTCGTGCTTCTAGAACGATGCGTAAAGATCGGCGGACAGCGGTGGCAAGCTGCTGAAGATGTTCCACCATACCCGCAACCAAAGACGACGGCTTAGCTCTTACAAGTAACCCCCCACCGAGGAGATACCGTAGTACTGCACTACTGAAACTAAAGGGAGTCGGGAACGTGCCCGTGTGGGAAGTGGTGGCAAATATTATAGCTTTCCATTGCCCAGCTGCGCCGCACCAACCGCCAAAGAAGTAGACACCGACACCGGAGACGTTTCAATGTTAATTGTGTGGCTGACAGCCAGTGGGGTCGTTGCAGTGATGACCGTAAGGACGTGCGGGGGGAACCTTCCGTCAAATTCTAGAAGGCTGCTACCGACCGAAGTCAGATCACTGTTGTGGACGTATTCTAGAACTCGTATGTCGCCACGGAAAAGGGGACGGAATGGAATTTCCAGCATTTTTCAAGGCAATCCCGGGTCAACACAACTCATCACAAATATTCAATGCGGCATGGAGGTCCTTTAGCAGCACCTGTGCGAGTGAGACTTCGTAGTGAACTTTTCCGAATTCCTTTCCAACCGGTTCGAACGCCTTTGCGGCCGTCCTGGAGTAGAACGCCACCAAAGCTGGCTTATCCCCGAACTTGGCCACCTGGTTGACGATCGGAGTGAGCATCACGAGGAAAGTAAGTGAGCTCAGCACTTGGAATAACCTTGACATTTACGCGTCAGATCGCTTTTTTCCTTTCCCTGTATACGTTTCTGATCCTTCCTTTTCCCTGCTTCTCATGGTGCTCCCTCCCAAAATTCCCCCCTTCAAGTTGCCATTGTCTCAAAATCCTCGTCTCTGTACCCGTCCTCCTGCTTACCTATGTCGCTCTCTCTCTCTCTCTATATATATATATATATATATCGCTCTCGTTCTAAATAATTTACTCTGCTTGCGTCCCTCCCTGCGTCCCTTATTCACTTATCTCTGGGTCGTCTTTCTGCTTCTACCTACCACGTTTTTTCGTCTGAGTCATCATATCGGGTGCCGTACGGCTACACAAGAGGTAACCGCCCCGGCCCAACACCCCATCCTTCCCAACGGCCAACCTAGAAACAAAAGCATCACAAGCATACCATAGGTCTCCCACAATCACGAATCTACGTACCAGAGGCAGTCCCACTTCGGTGCCAAGGTTGACCTTGAGGAAGTCGGAAATGCTGAAGTTTCGGTCGAAGCGAGTAGACGTCTTTTGGTCGTAGCCCAGGAACTTGTCGTTGTCTTTCTTGACGGCCCTGTTGGTGCGCTGGAAAGTCTTGATCGCGCATATGTCGTCGTACGGATCCCACCTCTGATCCTCGAACTCGGTGCTGCAAACAACATGTTGCATGGTGTTGTTGTCGTCGTTGTTGCTGGTCTACTCGCGAGGAAACTCTTCACGTCTTGATACAAAATCGTCCGTAGAGGACTTGTGTGGTCGCAACAAAGTGCTTGTACACCAGCAGAGGAACCTAACACTTCACAAACGACGTCGGTACTCAGGAGGGCCAGCAACATCGTTTGTACCGTAATGCTTGAAGCCACCAGGGCCAAGACCAAGACCAAGAATCATGCTCCTGTCTTCCAACCAGCAAAAAAAAAATCCGATCCAAATCCTCCCGAAAACCTCGAGCAGAGACGACACCAACACCCACCAGCCCCAGCAAAAATCCAACACATCTTCCCCGAATCTACGATTCAGCTATGACTACGACTATCGCACGTCTGTCTTTGGCGCTCACCTGAGGATATTGGTGACCTTGAGACTAGAGGCCGCGAGGTAGAAGGCCTCGACGGCGTAGCCCCCGTTCCACGCTTCTCTCAGAGGGTTCGGCCCGCCGGGCTTGGGCAGCTCGTTGTGCTCGAGGAAGAGGTCTCTCGCCCTCACCTTGGAGTCCGTCACTCGAATGGCCTTGTTGTCGCCGTCTAGCTGGAGGGTGAACCCTGTTGTGGAGGGCGTTCACATGGTCCGTGCAAAGAGCATCAACGTCCATTCTCGGGCGTGCTCGGTCATCGCATGAGCATGAGTTGTTGATTGCAACGCATACGAAACACTTCAACAGCGGCATGCATTGAAAAATCATCGCCGGCTTGACGGTTGGCAAGGGTTTCGTCAGAACGCCGTTGAACGTACTTTGTTGTCTCGAGAAAGACGCAGGCCCTTGGGTCGGGCGGAAATTTCAACATCTCGAAGAAGGCCACGACTTGCCGAGAATAAACGAGAAACATTCAAGAACATAGCGCAACTCACAAACCCCCGTACCTCACCAACCCCACCATGGACTACTTCCAAACGTCACTGCTCGCTATCCCCCATGCTCCTACTCTATTTCTATGCGCGATGGAGCTAGAGAGCTCACCAACAGTATGCCTACATTTCTCCACAACGGTCTTCCCAGAGTGCTTAACAACGGCAAATACTGCTGTGCAGCGCTCACCAACAATTACCCCGACAAGCCCGAAACTTGCGACACAGATGGCAAATCCGGTCGGGTCTTCCGCCCTGCTGAGGTCCACCTGTGTACCGTCCCACTTGATGAAGCTCATCTTGATCACGTAGTCCGGCAGGGTCTGCACGCAAACCACGAAGCGCACCCAAACCACACGAATATGCAGGATTGGGAAAGAAAATTGATATCGCTAAATGGGTCGCCACCATGCATGTGTAACGCTTCAGATTAGAGCAGCAACAGCAGTAGCCACCGCGGAATGATGGTCGTTGCTTGTAAAAATACTGCCATCACTAAGAACCTCCAAGAGAAGAGCAACTCAACAACATGTCTAACGAGCAACAACAACACCACTAACAACAACAAACACAGCAGCAGCAGCAGCAGCAGCTGTGCCGCGATGAATAACGATGGGCGTGAATATCTCACCTGCGTCTTCCCGGTGCCATGGCAGGCTGCGAAGACACAATTTCCCAAAAATGGAGGGGGGAAAGCAACAGGGCACGAGTGTGACAAGGCGAAGACAGGGTGCGTTGCTTTGTGACGAGGAACTGAGAATCGTTTCGCTTTTGCTGCTATTCGGCATTGTATCCGCCGAGAAAAAAAGGGGCAATACGACTAAACTACAGCAGTAGGATATTTGCAACCCACTATGGAAGAGAACGACGAGACGACTGAGATAGGCGATACAACAGATGCATACCCTATAAAAGGATACCCATACCACGGAGCTCCGAGTCTCCGAAATAGTTCTATAAATGTGACTACCATTGACCACACTTCACATCCACAGGCAGCACGAACAGATCGCATGCACTATGGTGTCTTCGGACTGTAAGGCACCCGAATTCTCGGATGGATCAGATCGATCAGGGAGGTGAAAAAAGGTTAGATACAGTACCTGTATTTCGGGTATATCGTACACAAGCCCAACGCTGTGCAGACCACAAGCTGGACAGATGTGAGATCATGTGGGGATAGATATCAATGAAATAGACCTCCCCACCTGAGCTAATCGTGCCGCCGTAGGTAACCGATTCCAGCACCACGTCCGACGGCAGGAACAAGCCTCGCCACTTGCCGCTGCTCAGATCAGACAAACGGTGTTCCAGACACAAGCTTTCAACGTTAGGTTGCAAAACGCCACGGAGATCGTATCAGTTCAAAGACATCTTCCAACTGCTGGCGTACATACTAAATAGCCTGCAGAGCAGCACAAACGCAGACTCAAGCACTATCGCAAGATGAACGCAACATGGATATCTGACTAAGATTTCATTCCAAGCACACATGATGAGGGTTTCAAATTACGAGTCATTTTTTGGACCTCGTCGCGTAGCGTCAGAACACTAGACACGATTCAACTGATATGCCAGCCACAAATTGATGGTCATGTGACAAAAACGATCTAACCAACGATCACTGTGTAGTCGCTTGCCGCTGCGCAACCGGCCAAAACCGAAGAAGGAGTGCGCCATGTAGACTTCGCCCTCGTGTCGCACGAAGGGTCAGACAGGCCGGCACTATACAATTGAGGAATCGAATCGAATCGAATCGACACGCCGTATAATAATCACTTTCGAGAGGCGGCACGGCTCAGGAACAGACCCTCCATACATGCAGTTCTGCCGGTGCATTGACTAGCTGTTGCTGCTTTCGGCTCAATGCTGTTGACTTTACGGATTCGATCGGAGAGAATTCAAAACCTCTCGCACCCACTCTCTTCTCCATCATGTCCAGCGTCTTGGGCTTTCCTTGTTCGCCATTGTATTCAACAACCGTTCCGTCTTCTTCGCAGTATCTCATTCTCTTCACTGCTGCATGGCTTCCTGGCTTGGGTGCATACGTCCAGAAGACAACCGATCCCAATCGTACGAAATGCCAAGCGAGAAACTAATACCGCAGGTGAACTCAAGCAAACAGCCTGCACGGTAACAGCTCAGCAGGCTTACCGTTCCTTTGAGTCCATGTACGTCCCCAGTTGACCCGGCGTGACCCCCGGTCCGATGGTCACCTGGAACACAAACACCAAAAACCATCTTGTCAGAGGGAGCACAAGGACCGTGGCGCTCTTCAGGCCCACTGATTCTCGATGTGCCGTTTCTTGCGCACGACACGAGTTCTACAGCACGTCTGGGCATCTAGCTGTGCTGTTTTCCTCGGATACCGAACAAAGAACGACCGCACAGGGATTCGCCACGGACACAGCGCATCGACTCGGTACAGGATGCAGCAGAGGTGTTATATTGCGGTGTTCACGAAAGATACTCTTGTGGGTCCAAGGATGTTGTCAGGGATTCACTGTTGACATGCACATCTACGTGAGAAAACCCGACCTAAAAACGTTGATCGAACGTGCAGGGCATATCTGTACTGCAACTACGTATTTGTCGGTTGAAGTGCAATGTCCTGGTTACGATGCAATAACAATTGGTCTTGAACCACAATACCAGGCTACCAAAAGGTATGTATGCACGCCACCGGAATCAACCAAATTTATGGCACCTCCTGGCTGTTAGTTTGTTGGCTTCAGTATCATAAAACGCTGGCATGGAAGAGGGAGGCACCGCCGAAGTCGTTGATGGTGCCAAGTGTCAACTCGCCCATGCCTGTCAAAACGTGTGTTTACGCATCCGAACTTGACCTATGCAACACACGCTCCTCGCCCCTCCGCTAAACATCACGTTGTACACTACCCTTCAACAACAACAACAACAAACGAGTTGTCGAACAAAGACAAAACGACAATAGGCACACATCTTGCGTACGCTAAAGGGCGCAGGCACCTGCGTGGGGCAGTCCGAGCTCCAAACGATGTCGTTGATGCCGCTTGTATCCAGCACCCATGAACCGTCATCTGCAAACAGATGAGTCCACGAGTGTCCAGACCCCACGCACCTTATCTTCGGCATCGGGTTCCGACAGCGCGCCTGCACCGATCGTCCAGTGCGACGCACAAGCGGGCGATCGGGGCGAGGGGGGTGACACTCATACGTACAACCATACGGTCAAGCCTTTTCGGCTTGACATTTATGACAATGATGACAATGATGCGCACGAACGATGAAGGGTATCTACTGCCGGCTGGGCCTTCGTACAGTACGCCAGAGAGGTACTCCTGCAGGAGGGCTTCGCATTCTCGTCCATCTCTTGCTGGCGTCGAAATACCCCCCACCCCTCCCGGGAAGTGATCGCGATAGATACAGAGGATAGGGACAGCACGTTTGAGCCACTCTTGGCAAAGGAAGGGGACAACTGGCCGTCTCCGTCTTGGCCGTCAGCGATCGGTCCCGTCGGAACAATGACAATGATCCGTCCTCTCGACGACGCGTGGTCAGTGGTACGACAACTAGGCATGTAAAACATAAGAGTACGCCCCCCCCCCGCCCGCGCGCGCGGCTGGCGAGTCACACTTATCGTACTTGGCGGAAGATACAACACCCGCTTGACCGTTCTCTAAACGTCGACTACTCTACAGCAAGAACGGCGACGCTGCCGAAAATGGCGGGAGGTGTTGGGATCGTCTCGTCGAGAGTTCCGCGAAAATATATCACTTGAAGGTGGAATCTTCATCATCGTCCTCTTCGTCTTGGAGAAATTGGCCTTTGGCAACCGGTCCAGGGGGTACGGTACCTGATTGAACCTACGTTCCCCAGTCGCATCACCCATAACCGCGTGTATGAGCAGTTGCGGTCGTTGTCACTATAATAGTCAAAATACAGTTAATCGGCTTGCGGTAGTTGTCACCAGTCCAAATAAGTCTTCCCGAGTTGTCGCTAACGACGATTTTCTCAAATACTCTTCGTCGCCATCACTTGTAACGCTCAATTGAATAGGTATACAAGCATACCTCCGAAAGGATCTCTTGGACGTCCCGGATGCTCTTGGGTTTCAACACCTTGGCAGGGGCCGTCTGCACGGTGGCAGCCCAGTTGCGAAACTCTCCGTCCTTGCTCACGCCGCGCAGAACCTTGGAACTAGTCGATGATCTTGCCGGCCCGCCTTCGACAGTAGCCCCAATAAGGCACGCAAGAAAGCAGTCAAGTCAGCACAAGAGCATCATACAACAGTAGCGTGGGGTCCCAATCCTATCTTGACGCCAAGAATCGCATTTTTTTCGCGTTGGTTTTACTTTTGGAGAAACGCCTCCCGAACGTCGGAAAACAAACAAAAGCGCGAGAGCAGGCACGTGTCAAGTTGTGGGTGTGGTCGATACATCAATACATCAATACCATCCTTGCAGTAGTGGTAAACGTTTCTGACACGCCTTGAGCAGCACACGCACGGAAGCACAACGGCACACACACGACGGCGATATGGTGATAAGATAACCCAGCGTCGAGGTGTGGTTGGATCGTCCGATCCCAATCCTATTCCAGAACTCTCAACACTTGGTTTCACAAGATACTCGCAGAAGCCTCGCCCTCATGGGAGTGCATGCTCTACAGTGCCGGATGCCAAAAGCATTTCATGGGAGCCTGTCAACTTGCCGAAATTAACTGTCCAACCCACGAAAAACACCAAAATCAGAGCACATGTTCGTCCCCATTGCTGTATCAAAAGTCCGATATATTTTGATCCAAGGTCACATATGCATATGTCGGCATCGGTTTCAGTACATTGTACACAAACTATGGGAGAAACAGAGGCACTGTTAATAGCGAGAGTGTGAGTTCGATCCATGCTCTTGCTTTAAGAGATATATCCAATATCGATGCCACTTCCTGATCTTGACTATCCGCCTTGACGATAGCCCGCGAGAGAAGGCAACGGACACACCCAAGCACCTCCGGAGATGCCCCGACAACGTGTGACGTAACGGAAATCAAACGGTACGTTGCTACAATTATACTACTAACAGTGTGAAGATGGAAGTTTCGTCTTGTGGAAAACATCGCCCGTGATTTCAAGTGGTTTATCTGGCGTTGCTCCTCCTTTCGACCCCAACACCCGAACCGAAGAAGAATGTGAGACTGTTCGTGTTTCCGTGCAACAAACATAAACATGTATGTATGTATGTATGTATGTATGTATTATGTGTGTATGTACGTATGTTTGTATGCATGCATGTACATACCTCCTGCCTTGGACGCACTGGTTCCGGTCACGATAGCTTGGCCCTTCTTCATCTTGTGGTCGCAAAACTGTCCATTCGAATACAAGAACAAGGGACGTCATATTCACGTGCCCATGCGGCACGCCCGTGGCATAATGGCGACCATCGTAGCGGCATCGCCAAAAGAGAACGGAGAGAGACAGAGACAGAGAGACAAGAGAGAGAGACAGACAGACAGACAGACAGACAGACAGACAGAGACAGACAGAGAGACAGACAGAGAGACAGACAGAGAGACAGACAGACAGACGGACAGACGGACAGATAGAGAGGAGAGAGAGGAATCGAAAATTGAGATAAAAGCTACGGTCAGGTCAAAGAAACAAAAACGGACATAAAAAAGGAAAAGTCACATGAAATAATACTGTACAAGCCAGAGGCGACGGGATACCGCTTTTTCTTTCAAGTGGTCAACGCCTAGGCGTGGACTTGCATCCGTTTCCTGTTCTCCCACGACTCGAGCCAAATGCAGCAAAAAACAAAGAATCGCGCTTCAACCAGTTCAACCGTCAAGCCCAGCAAATAAGGAAAGCGAACGAATGCCTGCAATGCAACTCAAGATGGGGCCGGTGTATGTAGATGTTTATGCACGTACCACCGCACCAACCTCCCAACCAACCAACCATCGCCTATATAGTCTAATCGCTCACCTGATGGAGAGTTTTCTTACAGCCTGGACTGCCCCAACGGTCCTCCCACCGTACCCCATGCGTCGTCGATGAGCACAGCCCCATAATAAGGTTGCCGCCGCCGTCTTTGTTGTAGTCTCCGGTGCTGTTCTTCCACCTTTGCTAGAGTACAAGAGTGTAAGTGGATCTCCGCACGATGCCCACGGACCGCTCTCTCCACCGCCTGTTTGTACCTGTTTTGCCTATCTGCCACACATCATATCCCGAAGCAAACAATAAAAGAGTTGTTGGGTGGGAGTGGCAGGCATCGGAGGTGGGTTGAGACAAGAACAACACGGTGCTTCGCCTCTCATCGCCTCTACTCTCCCATCCTCGAGAGATTTGCAGGAGCAGGGCTGCAGGTATCACTCACTACTACTGACAGCGGTTTCGGAGTTTGTTGTCCTACGTGAGACGAAAAGGTGTAAACATCAAAAACCCTTTCAAGATAGAGCCAATATCTACTGAATTTCTCACGGCATGCCGAACCGTCGGGGTTAGGCTTCTGTTGTCCGTTCTGCACGCTGTACTCTGCACTCACCTCTTTAAAGATTCAGGTCATGTACCAACACAAGTCCGTCCCCTATGCATCAATCGCAGCGGTAGGTTTTGTGTACAATGTGGGGGTCCGAAAAAGAACGCCGGAATGTGCCCGGCGAATCGAAAGGCGTAGTTGTAAGAGGGACCGGCGCTATTCGATGTACAGAATGACTTGGTGAGTCAGTCTCTGCCCAGCAATTTCACCGGTCCTATTCAGGGCCACCTGCACTCATCGACCGGCGTTGTTATTGACGCGCTGCATATCATCATCAGCAGCAGCAGGGTTAGATGTATGGACCCCTTTACAGCACCACGGATGTACAGCAGTAGTCTAACCGGTGGATAGGCAATCCACAATCCACAATCCACCACTACTGCTGTATGCATCCCACTGCTGCGAACTCCATGCGGAACGCACTACGACTCTCTGCTGGGTAGGGCAGATATAAGCGCAACTCTAGACATGAAAAAAATAGAGCAGGATAGAGCAGGCATTATTTTCTACATAATTTTTCAGTCAAAAGTAAAAGTGTATAGGCAGGACGTGGTCCAGCAGACCCGTACTAATTCTGGTAGGGGATTGGGCGTACAGAGGACGCCGCTGACATGTCTTTTGCGATGACCTCTGACTAGAGTGCATCGGACAAGAGGAGAAACGGTATGTACTCGATCTACATGCCACCGCTATCTGCATACCCGTGTATGTACAGCGTACAGCAGCAGTAGTACACGGCACCTTGACCCAGGGCAGAGGCAGAGACCAAGACCAAGAGGGAGGCGTTCAGAGGGACGACGCAAGAGGGAGGTGGATTTGTCCGCACGCCAACAAAACACTAACACCAACAAGGACATCACCACATCATGCACTTGGGAAGCAAAACACTCGACCAAGCCAACAGACACCCTTGCCTACGGAACGCCATTACCTGCGGAGTAAAGTCTGAGCACGCCGACGTCGTCGTCAACAAGCTGTCCAACTAGTCTACTTCGGTTGTCAGCGGCTGTAGTCTGGAGGCTACAAGGAAGGGGGTGCGGCGAAGAGGGCCGTGTCGTCCCCAAACGAGTTGCTGAAGCATAGCGAGCCATGGCAAGAAATGACGCACAAGACTCACCAGTATGGCAGATGGTGACCAACCCGGGGCTGAGTATGCCGCAGGAGGCAGCGTGTCCGTCGGTTGGAATGCCGCGCGTGATTGAAGCAAAAGTTCAGTTGCACGATGTTGTCTTGGACCAAAAAAAAAAAACTTGCTGTGGAACGTTCTTCAGAAAGGTGGCGCGCGCACGACACACGGGAGATGTCGGAGATGGGACTGTGGGAGCTGACCACTGACCACCACCGGACCAGATGTTCGGGGTGATCCTGCTTCGCCGCTGCCCCAACTGCTCAACTGCAAACCGTTGCCTGGTAGCTCTTTTCCTCCCCTACCTGGGTACTGTGTCCCTGCCTGCACACCCACGCCTTCGTGGCAACCACCCCATCAGTCATGAGGTCATGAGTGCTCGTCCCGACGACAGACTGCTGCCGTTGGTCGTTGCAAGGGTGTTCCGACAATTAGAATACAATTGAGAATTTCCTACAACTTGCGTTCTGCTGCACGTTCGATCTTCGGTACAATCCAAACAGACAGGTGTCCCGCCTCGCAAGCCTTTTGCACTCACTGCTGTCTCTCACTCTCTCCTCTTTCCGAAGTCTTTAGCTCATCTCTCTTCTCGCCACGCTATCATCTTCTCCAGCAAGCAGCGCACGCAATCAAACACAGAGCAAGAGAGAGATGGTCAACATGATCGAAGAAACGCCGATGAACGCCACTGCGCTCCTTCTTCAAACCCGCACAAGCAGCACCGACAGCAGCGTCTCTCCCAAGCCGCGTTGGTCGAAGGGCGCCCCTCCCACGTGCGAAAACACAGAACCGAACAAGCCGGCTCCCGCTGCACCTGTTTCATCGACGTCCTCGTGTGACGACGACGAGCGTTCGCCGAACACCACCAAGCTCTTGCTTGAGAGCCACACCAGCACCGACGGCCACATATCGCCCAAGCCCCGCTGGACGCGAGGAAACCCGAACACCGAACCCGACACTGGAGCTGACGGTGATAAGCTGGACGAGTCCTCCTCCTCTTCCTCTACCACTGCCACAGTCGCATCATCCGAGGACGGACGAGAGGAACCCTTGCCGACCTCGCTTCGACCTGGCGGCCGCAGCAGCAACGCCTCGGGCAGCAGCTGTGGCGACCGCAAGTGGTACATGGCCTGGAGGTGGTTGCTCGAGGACGAGGCTGCCAGCGAGCCAAGACTGCAGAGGCCAACCGAGGCCGATCCTGCTGTGCTGCCGAAGCTGATGGACGCCGAGCGGCAGCTGCTGTGCCGCAACGTGGAGCTCAGGTTGCTTGAGGTAAGCGTAACCGCAGAGTGGTACAGTCAGCAGTATGCACAGGGACTAAAAATAGCACCACAGCAGTCTCCGCGCGTGTTCTTTTGTTGCTTCATGTGCAGAGTTGTCAGATCTTTGTTTCGCGCCGAACGGATTCTTCCTCTTTTTTGCTATGTACTACTCCATCCAGCGCCACCTTCCTACAACGCATGTTGATGTGTGTACCAACGAACACCTCCGACACGGGCGGAGCTTTGGCTCGTGGCCACAGCTACTCCATACTGTAGCATCCCGACGCACGTGAAAAAAAGAGAAGTTCATCACGAAACGGTGTTTCTCATTTTCGGGGCACCACCAGTTCTTTTCAGAAAATATTCATGTCAATATGACAGAAAAGACTACCCGTTCGAGAACATACATTTTGCGTCATCTGTTCAAACGGCATCCTACGCCGGGAAGACGTGGGCCGGTGTCTATTTACTCTATGCTGTTAGGTGATTCTGAAAGACATGCCGCTGCAATATCGAGATCCACGTGCCGAACGAGGATGCTTGCCCGCCCACCTACAACGCCGAATCCGTCGCTTCAACGAGGCCCCATGCCCCTATGTGCATCTACCGTACTGTAATCGTAGAGGGCGTGCGTACGAAATGGGAGAACGAGAGGACTGATTTGATCCCTCAAAGGTAGACATGTACATCGGTATACTACGCCGGCGCTTCGCTGCTGCTATTTACCATTGCCCGCGCTCTGCAGAACATGTTTTCCCGACTCCCTTTTGCGAACGAATGAGCGCGTTCATCTATCGCAAGTGTTCGAATGTTTATTTCAACACCCGCCTCAAAATATGTTCCCAACTCTCATGACTGGTACCTCAGGTCGGTCGGCATTCTACGGACATCCCCGCACTGGTTGAGGAATACCTCCGGTTCATGTTCCTTCGGAAGAGGCTCGAGGGCATGCTCACTCTCGACCCTTCCCCTCTGGTGGACGTTGTCTGGCAGGCGCACATCACGTCGGACAGGTGTGTGTGTGCGGTAAAACAAAAGGATGGTCCTACGATAGTACACATTTATTTCCGGCCTTGCCTCACCACGGCCATTCTTGTGCGGTGATTGTACTTAATCGAGTAGCGGTTGCAGGCGTACTACAGCGCCGAAAGCGCCATAACATCGCAGGGTTCATCAAGAATCTAGACGACTCGCAGCGTCTTGCTTGCAAGAGTATTTTCTCGACTTCCTTTCCCCTCCCTTGGCTATCCGAAAAGGCGTGTGGAAGAGACGTCCTCCCTATCCTTCTCCCTACATTAAAAATGCAGGGAACAACCACATGCAGCCCCGCCACTACTTGTTGCAATGCCCCCAGCACAGCATCATCCCCCACCACCCCTTTTCATATTTCCACGCCACTCTGCACGAGAAAAAAAAAGAAGGCGCTCTTGCACCCAAAACAAAACCCACATCAACTGGGGTGGCGGAGCCAGCACTAAAAACTCCCTTGTCCGGCCTCTGACACGTCATACGTGTTCTCCTTGGTGAACCTCAACAACACCCGAATATCAACTCAGGGAGTACGCCGCGTTCTGCGAGCGCACATTCGGAGGGGAAGGGCTAGAGTGTGGGGTACCGCACAGGGAGGTCGACGCCTCGCAGCCCATGCTGTACGAGAACACGGTCGGCGCTTACGAGCACTTCTTCGGCGCCGTTGCCCCTTTTGAGTGCTGGCCTGCCCCCGCGGTGGTTGTTGGAGGTGCGTGTACCGCGCTGGATGGTAAGGGAGAGGAAGAAGAGGCACCCGTGGATGTCTCGGGAAGGCGAACCGCTTTCGTCCGCACGGAGGAGAGGAAGGTTCATTTTGCCGAGGAAGACTGAGCCCAGCTATTGTCATGGTATAATTGTACACGTGCAGAGGAGATTCTTAGCGTGTGGAATTGGCTATTTTGTTTTTTGTTTCGTTCGTTTTTTACGGTATATACATGCTGATGGAAGTCGACTTTCTTCGTGTGCTTCGTCTTCAAGGGTGAATGAACGGCTGGAGCAAAGGGCGATTGATGGGACCAGGCCGCAGTGTAGTCGTGCAGAATTGTTCCGTTGCCGTGCTGGCTATGAACAGTTGACAAGTTTCGTTGTGAAAAGGAACCATAACCGTAGACACTTGTAGTCTACCTTCCTTAACTTTCACATGCATAGAAGAAGCTGACGCGCGCCAGGAGGTCACCGATCTGCCAACCGCAATGGCCGTGACGTCACGTGCCTGTACTATACGGATACATATATACATTGAAATTATTTTTGCCCCATCTGGGCTATTTTGAATATAAACTACTGTACCAGTAGTCGTCTTCGTCTTCGACGTGGTGACCGATTGTTATTGTGCACGGATACTCTTGTTCTTGGGGTGTTTGGTTGACTGTTGGGTGTTTGCGGAGTCGCATTTCTCGAGTCGTAGGTGGTACAGTAGATGGATACAATACACACACGTTGTGGAACCCTTCCCCACATTTCCTCCATCCGTGGCATGTTTGAGTTCATGCTTGTCATCGGTGTGGTCAAGGGGTAGGGGGGGTTGTCGATGCTGCGTATGGAAGCTAGCCGTTTGGAGGTACTTACGGCTGGTTGTGGGTAGACTACAGAACACGCCACGACGTACGAAGCTCTATATAAAGCTTCGGCCGAGGCTGGGGGTGTTACGGTATTCCCAGGGCCATGCTACGGATGGCCGCTATATATAGGTTTTACTGTAGGAGTTCTTAAGCGAGCTCACAACTGGTGCTCAATTTCATACATTTTATTTTGTTTTAAGTTCGATTTCTTAACTCGTGGGTTCTTGAGTGCGCGTTCTGTATGTTACATTTCGTTGTTGCCTTGTTTTTTTATGTGATGAGGGAAGGGGAGTACGTTGCTGGTAGATTTTGTTGTTGACTCCTTCGTTCCTTGTGATATGATGTGATGGGGAAAGGGTGTGCGGAGAGTTGGTGGTGGGTATATGTTTTGGCTTCATCGTTGACTGCGTCCTCGTTGTTGATATGGCGGGGGGGTTGTCGGCCCAAGCCTCTTAGGTACTGTTCGTCTCGAGGCATGTTCCGGGCTAGTGCTGGGAATTAATTTCGTTGTTGACTTCGTCCTTGTTTTCGATGTTTCGGGGGCAGGGGGGCGGGGTCCTTCGATTCTTCACATGTACTCGTTTGCAGGAGTGCTTTGGGGCTGTATAGTAGGGGTACCATATTGTATGGTACATTTTTCAGTGCGGGAAGTTGGAGCCTTCATCAGCAGCGTGTGCTCTTCATGCTAGCGGTGCAATACGTTTGGGGGTTGGATCAATTTTTTCGTTTTCGACGTTTCGCGCGACATGTGATGTCTCGTCGAGCCTTGTATTGTCGGGACGTATATCGCGCAGTCAGTGGTTGGAGCTCTGTTTGTTCGCGTGGTATGTATATCTGGTAGATTCGAGAATAGGGTCCGTGTGTGCATCGCCGGTTGGAATCGTGAATTTTTGATAGTTTTTTCGGTCTTGTACAGTACGCAATGCTCTTTATGGCCGGCCGGTGGCAAAGGCCGGAAGTACCAAAATATGTATATGCAGTATCGCTGGTGCTGGCAACGAATGAAAGGATGTGCTTTGATTTGGAGTTGTTTCGTGGTACACAAAGAAGGGTCGGTCGGGGGACTGGAGTCCCATGCATTTCAAACGTTTAGGGATTGAAAATCAACGACGATTAATTTCCTATCAATCATGCCTCGACCGTTACGCACCCGGCAGGGATGTTGCCGCATCAACCAAATGTGCATGATAGCCCAAAGGGGAACCATGTCATGCCAACACGTTAACACGTCATAATGGTCAACGCGGCAGGCGGGCAGTGTCATTGAACATCTTGCCTTGTCTGGTCTTGTCTTTGGTTTCGTTCCATCGACTCTGGGCGCCAACACACCCTCAATCTGCGCCAATATTCGACAGCACACACGTAGTCTGCATGGTTTCCTGACGCGCCATGTAGGACCTATCTCACAGTCACAGCACAGGATTGAGTTTATCCTCGTCCCCCCCTGTGATATAACAACCACAAGAAAGTCCTTCCTTAAACTTACAAGAACAACAAAAACTTAGCAGGGGATCCACATGAAGCTGCATCTTCCCCCGCCAACATCAACGGGGGTTCGGTGTTCCCCACGCGAAGCGGGGGGCGCCCAACGTCATTTTCGAGACGTGGAAGGAAAACATAAAGTATCCGACAATGCGTTTCCCGATATCTCATGTCTGCCGAGTCCAGAGCTTCGGACAGGGATATGATGGTGCGTGCATCCATTCAACTCATGGGGGAAGTTCGGCTGCTAAGAATGAATGAATGGATGGATGAATGCGAAACCGCTGCCTGCACCGTCTGTTTTGTGTTTCCGAGTAAAATCATCCAATTCATCGCTGTACGCGCGCTTCGTCGGAGTGGCTGCAGGGAACAAACGAATGAGACCAACATCGAAATGCCAAATGAGGGTAACCCATGTCCACGCCCGGGCCTCAGCAAGGTCATCGTGAACCGAAAAAGAAAGGAATGGCAAAACAAATAATTAAAGCTAGCGCTGGACAGTTGTACCGTGGTTCGCAATAGAAGCAATATCTACGATGCGGCCAATATTGCCCATGCTAATTATTCATTCACTGCGCAATCGCTCTCCTCTTGCTGTGTGTGACAATGACACACGCCAGAGAGCATATCTTTATCACCATGCTGCAGACAAAGATCTAGCCTACTAACTACGCGAAACCTTTGCTTGGTTTCAGCTGCTACCTGTGAGATATTATTCACAGCCGCAAGCTCTCAAAACAACGCCTACGTGCATGCTCGCGTGTTGCTGTTTCGTGTTCGATGGAAACGAAAATACCGATGCTTATATGGAAAATTCCTGTGCTTATATGTCTACCTGCACACCAAACAAAAAGGCAGTTATTTTGAATCAGATTGGATCTATCTGTCACGGCACGAAACTCATTTGCCCGACAGACAAAAGAAAGTGGCCGAAGAACTACACGGAGGAAGGAGAAAAAAACAGCGTATAATATGAGGGCCCCGCCTTGCCCAACAACCCCTCCGCCCCCCCTTTGCCCATACGGCGGGTTCTTAGAAAAAAATTCGAATGAAAAAAGGGGGGAAATCTTCAAAAACAATATCCACCAATAATTTTCGCTTGCCGCCCCCCTCCACGGGGGGAACGCAGACAATAACTAGTTGAGAAAGAACACGACCTAACGCACTACTCTAATCCATCAGGCACCGTTCCACAGAATGTGAATGTTGCGCGAGCTCCATTGTCCTGGAGCTATCTACAATAGCTTCCCTACACTACAGATACCCTGCTTCTGCTGCTAGTGGCCGGCAATTCTGTCGCCAGAAAGCAGCGACAAAAGGGAAAACACCTAAATACCAAAATAGCTAAAAGAGGGTACAGTACCCTACTGCTGATGACTACAATACAAGCAAGTCTCTCGCCACCAAGCCGCGATAAAAAGACAGACGATAAAGGGTACAACCGGTACGACAAGCAAGGCTGCTCGCTCGCTCGCTCGCTACTCGTTCCTGTGGGAGTTGTTGAAGCTGCTGGCGCTGCTGGCCTGAGAAGACGAAGAGCCCTTCTTGGACCCCCTCCTCGAGCTCCTCCTCGAGCTCCTCCTCCTGTCTCCGCTGCCCTTGATGTTGATGGTCACGTAGCCCATGGCCCTGTCGTACGCCAGCTTCTCGGCGATCGTCAGCCTGTCCGACATCCAGTCGCCCCTGAGAAACAAGCACAGCATGAACACGCACGTGTGGGCGAAGCGAACAGAGCGAAAATGTGGCAAGTTGGTATGTTAGACACCGGCTGGTGTGTGCAAACATACAAGAGAAGCATAGCACAAACTGGCTGACGTCCAAATAACTTCAAGTCACCCACCACACACACTAGTCTTGGCATTCGGTTCAAGCGCGTTGCGAATTTCGACCTCCTTGCAGGGACCTTGTTTTTTACCTCTGGCACTAACGGTCTTTGCACTAGTTACTCCCCAGCCGGATAGCGCGATCGACGCTTACTAATAACGTTCGCATACAATACACGCAAGAACACCTTTGTTTCCAGACGTAAAAAGCGTGTGCTCTTCAAAGCAACTTGGATTTATTGATGCTGGCAATCGATGAGCTGTTGGATACCTTCCGCGAATCAGTCATGCTTGCCAATTACTGCCGGTCTTTTGAAGTTCCGAACCACCACGAGCAGTTTCGCGCTCCTCGTGTTCGCGATGAACCAACCCTTCCCCTGACTACCGTAGGTTGCATAAAATACCACACCCCCCGGCTCGATTTTCAAAGCTCGATTTCTCCACGACCAAGAGGATGCCCAAGGCAAACGATACTTGTACGTGTTCGGAGAGCTCTCGAAGGGACGATTCCAACCCCGCCATTTTCGGCACCGTCACTGCTTTCCCAGTCGAGTGGCCAAGCTTAAAAAATCGGTCCAGGGGGTGTGATACCTTACGTTATGCCACCTACGGTACAACGACAACACCATGGTATTCTACGCGTCCAATCGTACGTCAAAAGAAAATGTAAGGAGGCGTTCACTGACTCACGTGCTCTTGCGGTCCCACTTCTTCTTGTTGGTGTCGAAAATGGTCTCGAGGCTGCACGTATAGAAGTCTACGAAGATCTTGTTGGGGTTGATGGGCTTGTCACCGCCGTACTGCCTCTCCAGAGCCGCCGCAATGCCCTCGTTCGTAGCCCACTCAGGAACAAAGGTCCTGCAAAATTTACGAAGGAGAGGGGTCGTGTGTACGGTACCAACATTAATGTCACGACATTGCAACCAAGTGAGAAGAACTACTCGTTTGTGGCGTACTTACCCTGGACAAAACCAAAAATCTCAGAAAGGGGAGAACAGATGTGTTGGGGGTGAAATTACGGCTCCAAACGAAAAAGCAAAAACCAAACGCTGCGTTTGATTGTTCTTGTTTCGAAGCATTCGTGGTGGTTTGATTGGCTACCACCTCCACGGCCTCGAGGGATATTGACCAATAAGGGTGGAGCAAAACTAAAAAAGAAAACAAGGATGAGTGAGCACCACCCGACCCAGACACGTCTTGCTAACATTAGAGTCTCAAGTATCACGCCGTTCTTGTCTTGGTTTCAAAGACAGAGGCGGGGCGATTTCTTTACAGTCTTTCGATTTTGTGACGCTCTTCGTTGATGCCCTGCATCCTGCTCAACGAACGCAATGCATGACATTCTACACAACACATCACTTTAGTTGTGGTGTTGGTGTACAGTAGTGACTTTGTTAAATTTTATCCAAGCCCTTCGTTGTTGTGCTGCAAGGTGTTATCTTTGCAAAGTGTGGTTTCGGGTGGCAACTTGCCGCCGACGAAATCTGCTTCTTTGCGTGTACCTTGCTATTCCAGGAGGACGGGGGGATAGTTGATAGGATTCAAAGCAAGACGGTTACAAAAGCGAACCCATTGATTGCTGGGTACTTGGTTGGTAGTGAGGCGTAACGTCGTAGAGGTGAGATGTAGCGTACTGATACAATCCACCAGCCCACACCATAAGCATCGCGTCATGGCGGTTTTAACTTAATCCCTCTTGTGTCCACCGTACGAAGCTAGCTGCTGGCACCAATCACGCCATAGCGTGCCAGCATAGAACAGGAATACTGGTGTGCAGGTGGTATGCAGCATGCACTTTGCCTTTGAGGGTCCAAGGCCCCCAATAACACGCGGTGTGCTTTCGAACAAGGACGACAAGGAGCGGGTGGCTCAACTCTCTTGTGTCCTCTGCTGAGGGGGCGTGCACATCAGCAGCAATATCGTATTATATATATTTAGCTTTATCGTTGCCATGCGTCTGTTCAAACCAAAAAAGCATGGCATGCAAATAACTCACGATTCAAGTTTCTTGAGCGCCGGGTCGTTCCCCTCGTCGTCTGAACCCGACTCATCAGACCTGCGCAACAAGAAAGCGGGGGGGGTGGTAGAGTCATCAGCGAAAGGCCAAGGTTCTAACTGCTTTGTTATGAACGAACATGATATGGTATGATATGACGGAAAATCAAAGTCGAGAGGCAGCGAGCGCACAACATCCCAACATGCCACGCTCTTCGTCGACACAAGGTGGAAATACATGTACCGATCTACCGGGTAGCCCTTGCCGTCTTGATACCAAGTTGAACACCAACTGCTTCACCAAACCCAATGTGGATAAATGCAGCAATGAGATGAGCCTGCCTACAGCCTTTCGTTAGAAGTCAATCACCGGTCTACCGCAAAGCAACGTGCCAGTAGAAACACATATTTTATTGTTGAGCACTGAAACAAGGTCGAATCTCTCGTGCAAAAGAGTGAAAAGTGCTTCCTGCGATACTACTGCATTTTCTTGGGTTGTGCATGGCATGGCCCTGACTCACATAAAGTACTTGTCCTCCCCCTCGCTGTTGTCACTGCAATCTCCGCTATCTCCCATTCCCTCCTCCTCCTTGCCTCCGCCATTGTCGTAGAACACCTGGATCTCCTTTGCCTTGAACAGCTTCTTCACAACCCCCCCACCCCCAACATCAGCATCAGCACCAGCACCAGCACCGGCACCAGCACTTGTGACGGCAGGGGACGTTAGCTTGCTGGTACCGGCCGGTTTGAGTGCGGCTATCGCAGCCGACTTGAGCGGACTGCCCGTCGACTTGAGTATACTGCCCGAAGCTTCCTGAGGGGTGCCCGTGGGCGGCTTGATCGCGCTGGCCCCTCCACCGTAGCCGCCATCGCTGCTGCTGCTGCTGCTGCTGCTGCTGCTGCTGCTGCTGTCGAAGCTGTCGCGGTCGCTGAAGTCGTCGGGGGACGGTAGCTTGGAGGGCGACACTGCCCGGAGCATGCCGTTCCTCGCCATCCCCACTCCCCCCTTGGTGGTCTTCAGCTTGCCCTTCGCCGCCCCCATCCCCGTAGCAGTACCTGCTGTTGCCAAGCCCTTCGCCGTCGCCCCCAGACCCCCCTTCGTGGTCACCGTGACCGGCTTCGCCGGGGCCGCGGCAACGGTCTTCTTTGCTGAGCTCGCCATCACCGACTTCGGCGACGCCTGCGGTGACGTCAACGGCGATGCTCCCGGTGAGGACGTCGGCGAAGAAGACCCCTGGGTTAGTCTGTTAGGCAGGAGGGGGTTCCTGGAGAAGGACGAGGACGAGGACGCGACGGAAGAAGGGGAGGTGGGCGGAGAAGAGGCCTCTGCCGCGAAACGCACCACCGCCGCCGCCTTAGTGGCCGGTGCTGCCTTAGCCGTTGGTGCCGTCGCCTTAGCGGCCGCCGGTGCCGTCGCCGCCGTCGCCGCCGGCCGTGCTGGCAGAGCGGGAGGTGCTGGCCACGCCAACGGCTTTGCTGCTGCTGCTGCTGTTGTCGCCGTCGTTGTTGCACGTGCGACAGGGTTGGGTCTCGAAGGCTTCGCTAACGGCGACGATGACGATGGCGGTGATGATGACGGTGACGATGCAGCCTTCGCTGGGGCCGGAGGCGCTGTTGGTGTTACCGACGATGACGGCGATGCCGCCACCGCTGCTGCTGCCGCTGCTGCCGTCGTAGCAGTCGCCGCGCCGACAGCCGCCGCAGGGTCCCCGCTCGCCGCCTGGGGTGTGGTCGTTGAAGCGGCCGGGCACGGGGAAGCGGCGGCACTACCCCCTCGGGCGGCGGCGGTGGCGGCGGCGGCGGCGGCGGCCGCGTCCTTCTGCTCACTGGACGTAACCGTCGTCGCTGCTGCTGATGCTGCTGTTGTCGGCGGGGACGCCACTCGTGCTCCAGCCGACTTGCTTGCCGGCTCGAACGTCTTAGATGCAGCCTTTGGGGTAGAACGGAGAGGTGGCCTACTGACGCCGGCGGCGGCGGCCGTGGTGTTGGCTGCCGTGCTGGAAGAGGAGGAGGTGTCGGCTTTGGAGGCGCCACTGGCGCCGTTGCTGGCGACGGCCTTCGTCTTGGTGCTCTTGCTACTACCACTACCACTCGCGGTTCCGGGATGCCTCGTTCTCGGCGGCGACGACGATGGCGGTGGCGACACAGCCCCGCCCTTCTGCCACATCTTGATGATCGAAGCCACCCTGCCGGGACACCTTTCTTCCCCCCCGCCCGTCGCCGGCGCGGTGGACGTCTGCGACTCGGACAGCGGCGTCGGGGGAGCAGTGCCCGGGGTCGATGTTGCGGAACCGGGGGCGTTCTTTTTGGCAGTTGGCGTGGTGGTGACGTTGGCGCTGACAGCGGTCGCCGCGGCGGACTTTTTGAGGACTGGAAGTGTTCGGGGACCGGTGCTAGGAGTCGAGCTCGAGCTCGTTGGAGTCGAGGCAGCCTTCTTCAGGTCGGGGGCCAGGCCCGGTGGCGGGTTGCGCGGGGGGGTCGCCGCTGCCGCCTGCCTAGCCTTGCCGGCCCTGTTGCCGACGCCGCCGTCATCCCCACCCCCCCCAAATATCCTTGCCAACGCCGCCGTTTTCGGGGAGAGTCTTGCCTTAGTCGGGGATGCTGGCGGGGGCACCGCGGAGATGTTGAGAGGCGCGGGAGCGGCTGTCGAACAGGTTCCGATGTCTGGCGGCTGCACTGCCGCTGTACCCGCTGGAGTTGACGCTGCTGCGGTCTTTGTTGTTGTCTGCTTTGTTGGTTTCTTCGCCGCCGCTGCTGGTGCTGGTGGTGCTGACTTTCCTGGCGAGCTCGGAGCCGCGGCCGTCCCAGTAGCAGCTGCTGGTGCTGGTGCTGGTGCCGGTGCTGGTGCTGGTGCTGATGGTGCACTGCCTTGAAGGTTGGGTCGTCTGTCGAATGTTCGAGAAGGAGGGGGAGGCCTCGCTGCTGACGACGTCAATGTTCTTGATGTCTTCGCCGTTGACGTCTTCGACATGGCTGCTGTGCTTGGCGCACGCTCGAAAGGCCAAGGTTTCGACGTTGTTGTTGACGACGACGCTGGTGCTGGTGCTGACGCTGGTGCTGGTCGTAGCGATGCTGCTGCTGCTAGTGGTGACGCTGATGCTGGCGCTAGTACTGATGCTGATGCTGTTGACTGAGCTGGCGACATTGCTGGTGCTAGCCGTGGTGCCGGTGAAGGCGATGCTGCCGCTGCCGCTGGTGCGCTAGGCACGACGGGAGCTGTGCTCGCGCTACTGACGGTGGAGACGAGTGGTGCTGCTGCTGGTGCTGCCGTCCGTGAAGGCGATGGGGGCTCCTCAGGCTTTGCTACTGCTGCTGCTGCTGTGACCACCGACACCTGCTCTGCTGCTGGCGACGCTGGCCGTACTGGAGCAGGACGGGGTGGGGATGGTGACGGTCCCGCCGGTGCTGTTGATGCTGATGCCGATGCTGATGCCGATGCTGACGCTGATGCTGATGCTGATGCCGACGGTGGTGCCGGGGAAAGCTTCGCGAGGGCCTCCCCCGCCGGCACTTTTCGAGCAAACTTGCTGGCGGGGCCCTCTGCTGATATCTTGTTCTTTCTGCTGCTGCTGCTGCTGCTGCTGCTGCTGCTGCTGCTGTCGCCGTCGCTGTTGCTGTTGCTGTTGCTGTTGCTGCAGTTGCTGCTGCGGTCGCTGCTGCTGGTACTCGTGTCATCCGACAAAATGTTCTCCACGAGAGATAGCACGGCATCCTGGTTCCGCCTTCGAAGAACTGTCCACATTCAGTTCAACAGGAATCGAGAGGAGACGCGGTGTAGCACGAGGCGGGAAGAGGAGGACAAGGACAATCAGAAGCACACCCAACAGACACAGAGCGAACACGTGGGGCTTCGGAAAAATGTGTTTGCTCAATTAAACGCCACAAGGCTTGCAAAGGTGGAAACACCAAAACATCACAGGAAACGTTTGTTCAACCGTCCATACCGCCGCATGTAGTCAATGTATCCAGGGAATGCTTTGCATCCCTCTTTTTTGTGGGTAAGTTAGCTTGTGACCACGGGAATCGACCACGCCAAGAGTTAGACTAGTACGGACAGATGAAGATACTGGGTAGAGACATCAGACCATTATTTTCTTTAAGTGAAGACAACAATATGCAATAGTCAATGCCGGTCTATCGTGTATTTCTTCAAACAACCATCGGAAAACGTATGCTGCTGTTTGATGACATGGCCACAAAATATACTGGTATATGTACATAGAGGTAGGCCCGATCACAACAATGGTACAGTACCGCCATCAGTACCACATCGCTGCGGCAGCAGCAGCAGCAGCAGCAGCAGCAGCAGCGACGACACGACAACAACGGCAAGAAGCAGCCACGCAACAGCAGCAACGGCAACGACAACGGCACCAGCAAGCACACGGCACAGCAACACACCAGCTGCTACTGCTACTACTGAGCATCTAGCGCTGCTACTCACCGCAGGATTCTGACGGTGCAACCGGAACCGCCTGCTGCTCTGCTTGAACGAATCGGATCAAAACACCTGACGCGCGTGCCTCTCGCACCCTTCGGGCAAGCTCCGGTCTTAGCCCGGTAGTTGGCAAGCCCAACGCACGTACAATACGTCGGAGCTGCAGTACCCCCAGCAAGCTTACAGGGTCCTGGTCCTGCTTTGGTTGGGGCATTCAGGTGTATTTGGGTGTGGCATTCGCGCATCACTGTTGGCATCAACCGTGTATGATGAATCGCAAATACAGCATGTACATGTAGCACGCAGGTAGAATACCCCGTAGTCAGCATTCGCTGTGAGCTATGGTTGGTATAGTAGGGGCGTATACCGTACAAGGCCATCAGCACTGCTCGGTTTCGCATGTCCATGCATCATCCAACACGTAGGACAGATAACTATCGGGGGGTCTGCTTTCTACAATAGTAGTCTAGGCGCAAGAACAATCTGATTTCATGCAGCATACAGGCGTGCATATGGCACGTTTGTGTATGTTGAAGAGTATAATACACTACTGTACGTAACGATATGCAGTGCACGTTACCGGGGGGCATGACAACACACATCTGGATCAGCGCGGGGGTCACGGACCCGTATTCCTCCTGAAAAAGGCACGGCTTCGATGGGAACTAAAGGATTGGTTGTAGACATGTAGACTGCAGTACACAGACTTTGCGTTGTACTTCTGGTGTGCAGAGTAGTCAACGGTCATGCGGCTCCGCTACAGGGAGGCGCACACAAAGCACAGCACACAGCAGGTTCTCTTGTTTGGAACCCACAGAATACCCCACCGCAACAGCGCAACCATCCATCCATACATGTCGATGGCAACAACAGCAGTGGCAGTGTTCGGTCCTACCCGATGCAAAAGAGTACCATACACACGGAACCGTCTAGTCTCGGTGCCTTGGAGTTGTTACGAACTGTCATTCGAAACGTTGCGGACGGACTTGCTTTGTAGAACTGCTGAAGTCGAGAATGCTGTAACCGATTCGTGACGGTGGAAGGTAGGGACCTGAGTTTGTAGACGGGGCGCTAGCTTTCCTAGAAACCTCTGTGTATGTCGCCGTTTTGACTGCGTTCTCTGCTGGGTGAGTCGGTCCCTCTCCATCTTTCCGAATCTGTCCTTGAACGTCACGTCAAGCTGCCGCTCTCTCGACACTTTCTTTCGTCATGGTGAGGTCTGTCAACAGCAGTACCGCAAGCAGCCTACGACATACAGGCCATCCTTCACCTTCACCCAACATCAGCACAGGAGAGGCTGGCAAGAAGGACACAGCAGTACAGCAATCTTGGGGTGACGATATCTCGGGAAGTATTCAAAATATGACCTCTCTCACCGCTATCCCATCACCCTGCCGCCGCTGTTGCTGCTGCTGTCGCGACGTTGTTGGCAACGGCCGTTGGTGCGGCTGCTGCTGCTGCTGCTGCTGCTTCTGCTGCTGCTGCTGCGTATCTTGCCCTTGTCGCTCGTACCCCGCCAACGATCTCTTCTTGGCAAGTCTCTCTCGGATCCACCTCTTCTCTCCCTCCCGCTGCGAGCCCGCGGTTGCTGAGGCATCCACCGCTTCTAGGGCTTGGATCACGCTGCTCGCCGAGCGTATCCGCTGATGCTGCTGCTCATCCTGTCGGTGCACCAGCAGCCCCATCGACAACACGTCGGCGCGCTTTTTCCCTCACGCTATCCCCTATGGCGCTGGTAGACCCCTATACACACTGCTGCTGCACCCTGTGGCCTTCCTCGCGTGTTGTTCCAGTCTATCTTAGGGGGAGGAGATCGAGCAGCAGCAGCAGCACCGGCGGTGTGGGGGACGGCGAAAGAGACCCGTTGTTACCGCCTTTGCGGGGTGGTCGGTACCGATCTCCCAAACAAAATTGTTTTGGTTGTTCGAAGATCTCCGACAGTGCGGCGTAACCTCGCATCGCCGTTGGAGGATTTCCCGCCCGCTCCCTCCGTCACATCTCATCCAGCAGGACATACAGCAAGCTATCGTTGAAGGCACAAGGGAACCACAGGGAAGGATACTGCGGTGGTCATCAGTCGCGGGTCTGGATTGAAGAGGAAACAGCAAGGAACCTGGGACGCGCGCTAGTTGACGAGAAGTGCTTCCAGAAAAAACACTGAGAGGAAAGAAAGGCAGCGGGCGAGAGAGAGAGAGAGCGTACAAGCGCAGCGATCGTGATGGCTACAGCTGTGGTAAGATTCTCAATAACCCATTGCATTGCGGCCATCGGTGGGCAAGCGTATAAACAACTCGTCGGGGGGTTACACCTCGGTAGCAAGGACTCCGAAATGATGCCACCCGTGGGCGCGCGTGTTTGCTGGGTGCCTGCTCTGCTGCTGTTGTAGGTGTGCACCTTCCCGCCAAAATATCGCCATGTTGTGTGTCAGACGCTTCTTGCTGGAACGCCACGCCGCCGCGGCTGTGCTGTGTTGACGTGATGCGTGGATTACGATCCTTTCGTGCTCCCGGTGTGTGCTTACCCTGAGTTGGACCAAGGTCCTCCGGCTTGCCCTCGCCATGTTGGGTGTTCAGGCACTTGTCGACAGCAGAATTTAGAATGCATCTGCAGTAAATTGCGAATTCCTGGAGACCCCAAATGTTTGAGCACGACCGTTTAGTTTCGTTTTGTTATATCGAGGGACGTGCAGTAAATAGCACCAAGGGCGGACGAAGACACCTATTATCCTATTACACACATCTACGCAGTACAGTAGCTCTTCGAAGTGCTGCTGTCATACATGTGGCATCTTTCAATACCACATTTCGTCGGCTGTTGACGCCTTTGTAGCGCCGCAGTAAACGCTTTGTGCAGCAGTGCAGTAATTCTTGACCATGTAATCGTTTCCACCGATCTCGATCACCAGCACAGCAGTATAGGTTGCATACGCTAGGAAGTGAGGGATATCCAGCTACACGGCAGCAGCAGTGCGGGAGAATTGGCTTCCAGTACAGCACTGATTGTCGGTTGGAAAACCTATGCACAGTACAGCAGTACACCCGTACTGCGTACATAGGATACCACCAACAGTATAGTCTTACTGTGTGTGTTTCTATTGTTCCTTAATCCTGAGTTGGCGGATACAACACAAACACTTTGTCGGACAACGTTTGCCTACGCCTCTCTACGTTCGGTAGAGCGTGTTTGCCAATTTCCTCCTGAAAAATGAAGATCTGGCTGCTATATTCATCGGTAGGCCGGATAGAGCGGTCCATGCTTCCTTGCAGGCAAAACATGAACAACAGCATCAGCACACCCGTTTTTTTTTCTAAACAACAGGAATGCTGCCACTGCTTCTGCCACCCTGTCCTGTGTTGCGCACCGGAAGTTTTCCTCTCTCAAGTCCCACGGTTGAAAGAAGCACGCATGCAGAGAGGTGAAATGTATCTCCCGCTTCGTCCGACAACCATACCACACACGACAAAACAGCCACCGCCGTTTCCACAGACCCTATATAATTGTGACTTGGTTCCTGTCAAACGTCTCTTGGTTGCTGTCAAACGTCTCAGATGAAACCTGTTGGAGGAGGTCCCGTGGGTGCTGGTGGGGGGGCCCCTCGACGGGGGTGGTCTCTGGAAGACTTCGAGATCGGGCGGCGCCTTGGACAAGGAAAGTTCGGCAGGGTGTACCTTGCCAGGGAGAAGACTTCCGGCTACGTCACGGCCATCAAGGTGGGCACCGTTTGCCTTCCTTTTTTTTCGGGGGGGGGGGGGGTCGTTGTTGATGTTGGTGACTTCGAGGTTGCAAAACTTGGTTGTAGGTGTCTTTGTAGCTGGTGGCGCCTCATATTTTCGACCACGGTTTTCGAAGATGAGATGAGATGCCTCGTCGACCCAAAGGCAAGGTCTGGATTTTTCCCATGCCGCTTTTGTCGAAGAATTTTCCCGTCACCTTCCACGGTATTCAGGACTCGGATGCTGATGAAGAGGATGCTTCCACAGTGCTAGTTGTTATTCAATACTTGTGGCCTGCGCCTGCCGTAGTAAAACGATGACCGATGAGACGGGTGTATGTATCCTATAGGTTGTTGCTATTCTGTTCCGGAGTTCTGATGCCGTACCGCCAGCTATTGCTCAAGTGTTGAAACATCCAGGTGTTCAGGCCGGTTGCTTCCATTGAAGTTGTACTTGTCATTGGCGGGAGGGAGCATTGAGTCCCGGCGCTTTGTCCTCATTCCCATCGTTACTGTATCGTTACGCGACCTAGATTACGGTTCTCTACGCTGTACGTGTGTAGTCACACTGCCTGAGCCTTCCGGTGCCTGTGTATCAGTAGTGAGAAGGCCAGGATACCACGACCTTTCATCATGACCACCGTGCAGTCTCTCAGTCTCTTCAATGCTCACGGTGTCGCCGGCACACCCTCAGACGTACTCTAGGTACCCTTCTTTTCGTGCGTCTAATGCATGATGCCGCTTACACACGAATGTTGTCTGAACGTTGGCTTCGTTTAGCCAAGCAAGCAACACGAAGCGCTCTCATGCGTCACCAGCTGCTGCAGAAGCAGCGTGTGCGCGAATGATCAGTACGGAACGACGAGGGTGTCATAATATAATTGTATATGCATATGCGCCTGCTAGGTGACGTCTGCCAATCACCTTTCCAAATGTCTACAGGTTTGGCTCAAGAAGAAGAGTGTGCATGAATTTCTGTAGTTTCAATCGGGAATGGGTGTGTCTGCATGATGCCCTCGTCTGCTGTATGATATCTACCGAACACTTTTTCTTTGTACTGCAAATATCGCAGGTTCTGCAAAAGAAGCAGCTGTCCAAGTCCGGCGTGGAGCACCAGCTGCGACGGGAGATCGAGATTCAATCGCACCTCCGACACCGCAATATCCTTCGCATGTGAGTGTCAGAGTAGCACGTGGTGATTTGAACCAAGCAAAAATACTAACTACATTTATTAGTCTTTTCTCTCCGACACCATTTATCTGTACCTGCATTATTGTTGGTGTTGTTTCTTGTGGGCGATTTTTTTCTAGACATGAGACATTAACGTTTACGGTGTTGCTGCATGGTGTTGACGAAGTTGTTCTCATGAGTTGTATCTGTTTACAACTTTCCGTTCCGAAGTACCGAAGTCGATCTACCACGTTTCTCGTTCTCCGTTCTTCATCCCCCCTACTCCTGTAGTTTTGTTAGCTTCTTCCTACCGTACAGTACGAACTTTGAACTCGAACTGCGGTTCCAGCCGATGTACCTTGGACATGATAGACATGATGCGACCCCGTTTAAACTTGGGGGTGCCGGGCGTACGGTACGCTCATTGGAAAGATTTTGATCACACAGAATGACATTTGATGTCTCCGTACGTTGGAAACATCGTGACCACATCGATGTCCGGCTACCCTTAGCTGAGCTGCCCAACACAACCTCATGAGTCTTCAAAGCGTTTGGTGCTGTCAAGAACGGAGCTCTTCTGCGACCATGAAAAGAAAGATCAATGCGATAGATGCATACTACATAGGTTTTAACTTCTTGTGAGGACTCAACGACGAGAACATCACTAATCGTTGGGGGCATCTCGATTCAACCTTTTGATCGTCCCACTCAGGCTCGGGTTCTTTTACGACCACAAGAGGATCTACCTCATCCTCGAGCTGGCGAGTGGGGGAGAGCTTTACAACTCCCTAGTTGAGGCTGGCTGCTTCGGGTGAGCGCTAACACTATCCTCGTCCCTGACCGGTGAACTGCAGGATAGTAGAGACTATCTGGCCACATGAAAATTTGCGTTGGATTGAATTCCTGTAACAGTCGTGTCAGGCGTGGTGCAAAAGTGACTTTTCGTACCGCAGAACACTTTTTTCACTCTACCTATGATATTGATCGCCGCCGAGATTCGCTCTCGGAACGCTGTCTCAAATCGGTTAGATGCAACAGACGCTGGACTTTCCACTATAGCTTAGCTTAGCTTTTCTTCGCCGAGACCGTACCGCAAGGACTCCACCGTACATAGGACCGTAGAAAAAGAGGATTCTCGAATGCGAAACCTGTCACCGACGAGCCCTCTTGTCGTCCGTCCCATCTCCGCCTGGGTTCTTTATTTTTGTATCTGATCTCTTCGCGACCTCGCCAATACAGTTGTGTACGATCCCTCGGACTCGAGGGAAGCCCAACGAGATCACTAACACCTCTCTACTTCATCCCGGGGCAGAATTTCCACATGCGACAACCCCTACTGTAGTCGTCTCAATCAATGTATTCCTATTCGCGTAGGTTCAATCATTAATGGCGCCTCGTTATTTGCGGACGGCGATGACAAAATCCAAACGCTCCTCGCACGTTGTCTCGAATTTTTCCAGGGAGCGGCGCGCAGCCCAGTACGTCAAAGAGGTCGCGGACGCTCTGAGCTACTGCCACTCCAAGCACGTCATCCACCGCGACATCAAGCCTGAGAACCTCCTAGTCGGTCATAACGGAGAGGTGGGTTCGATTCTTCAATATATATATTTTTTTGTCTTTTCTGCCTCTCTCTTGTTGCTTCTTTCCTCATCTTCCTTGTTTGAGTGTTCCTCGCTCTTCCGTGAATGAATGGGTTAGCCGGCTTTCCCTCATCTCCGACGTTATTGCTTGTGGTTTTGTGGGTTTTACAGAACGCTCAAACCCTCGGCCCTCACAACGGAGAGCCCCGTGTAGTCTTGCCTGTCGTGTTCGCTTGAGGGGGTATTGTAGATAGGTTGAGGTGACGTTTGCTGATTGTCTCAGCAGCAGCCACGTCTGTCCGCGTTGTGGTTGGTCTGTTTGGTTCGTCTGGCTGCACAAGGCTCTCCACAAGTACTATTTCCACACATCGTCTTTCTCGACCTCTTTGTCGAGATCAGTCTAAATGTATTGTATGTCCCGTTGCCTTGCCACTGAGGATATGCGGACCCGGTGGTCTTCCGATTGGTTTGATGTAGTGTAGTTCCTGGTACAGGCAGTACAGTTTTGGTGGTAGCCACGGGGAGGCGGTGGGATCGGTGCCCTGTCTATCGCCATAGGGAGTCCAGTAGACCAGTCGGTTGTGTTGTCGGGTGTTGGTTGGTGAAAGAAAGGGTGTGTTGTTCTGCTTCGTTCAGATCTTCACGGAGCAAGCACAATTTTACGTACGTACCCCCCAATCTCTTTCTCTTCTTGTCTGCTGTGCCCCGTTTGTACGTCACAGCTGAAGATCGCGGACTTCGGGTGGTCGGTGCACGCCCCGTCCAATAGGCGCCAGACGTTCTGCGGCACCCTCGACTACCTGCCCCCGGAGATGGTTGAGGGAAAGGTATGTTAAACCATGCAGCAAAGACAATGTAAAATGTCGCGTCGGTTCCTTCCAAAATTTAACTGCTATCACACCTAGTCTATATTGTTAAGAGGTTTCTCGATTTGCTTGCAGCCGATGGCAGAGTCGGACAAAACATGGGGCGAGGTGTAGAATATGTTGTTGTTGTTGTCTTCACATTGAAAACCGTTCCGTTCTCTCTGCCCAGTACCTTCTTCTGTCCTTACTACTAACACTTGACGGGGTCGATTCCCGTGATCACAGGCTAACCTACCCAAAAAAAAAGTATACGAAAATAATACATGTACTTGTGGTTTTTGCTGTACCGGCACGTCCTGCATAATGCCTCGTGTCTTACACCTCACAAAATTCTGATTGCCGAGTCTGGTCAGCGTTGTACCGCCAAGACAAACAAGGAATACTGCTCTATTCGGTTTCATACCCGATTAGCTCCCTTGATGAATGTAATTTCAACACACCCGCCCATGTCTTGGCAGTACGTATACATAGATATGGTTGTGTACAAGTCGGAAAGGCGGGAAGCTGTTCCAATGACCAATCAAAATTGAAAGCGCGAAGCTGCACAATGACAAGAGGTTGGGGGGGGGGTCGGATAACGTTTATGAAGAACAGCCATCGGGAGGACGACACAAACACTCTTGATTCCGACTCGTATCGCATCGGGTGTGAGGCTTGGTATCTTCGTGCCGTTCGCGGAACTCTTGCTTGTGTCGGGATGAAATCGATCGTGCGGTGGTCGTTCACATATATTTTTTCATATTTATTTTTGACAACATCCAAGTGAGTACCCCTGCACGCGATTTGTCGTGCACGTCCGGCTGGCTGCGTCTGCCGTACTCATTCAGTACCTCTATCCTCTATCGCTTGCGGCCCACGGACCCCGTTAGCTTCCTGCTCCGTAGTCGGTGGCAATGCACCGGGCGGGCAAAGCTAGCCCAACTCAAGTATGTTCCTCACACTCACCTTCTGTCTGTTTGTCTCGACCCTTGACCCTTGACCCTCGGCAGGAGCACAACGAGGCGGTCGACATCTGGGCCCTGGGAGTGCTCATGTACGAGCTCCTTGTGGGCAACCCGCCTTTCGATGCTCAGGGACACAGCGCCACCTACAGACGGATCATCAACGTCGACCTACGATACCCCTCGGTACGTACGACTGCTGTGTGTGTGTTTTCGTCATATTTATTTATGGCGACAGTCCCCCCAATTTTCGTGATGAGACGTGTAGTGTACTACATATGTAGAGTAATACACTTGTCAGTGTATTTGTTCGTACAAGTACAACCATACAGGGTCACATACGAGGGGGTAAACACAGGGCTTTTTTTCCTTTTTTTTTTTCGTGCCCCGACTTCCTCCTGCGGTGCGTGCTGAATTTGATTTTTTTGGCCATAGTCTAAGGGTCTGTACAGATGTATATTACTGGGGCTCGCACCAACTGACATTATTCCGGGACCACTACAACTGTGTTGACACATCATTTCCAGCTTGCCGTTGATGCACAAGGCGTCAATTGGTGCAACATTCATTGCGTTGAATATGCGATCGATCACGCCCAATCCCATCGCCTCTGATGGCCCTGACGCGAACACCCCCACCCACCCCCGCGCATATGTTTTTTGTCTGCTGCTCGTTTCGTTTCGCATCCTCAGCACGTGACACCGGAGGCGCGCGATCTGATTGGCCGGCTGATCCGCAAGAAGCCCTCGGACCGTCTGCCCCTGGAGAGGGTGCCCCAACACCCTTGGATCGTTAAGTTCACCTCCAACTAAGCTAGGCCCTACCGGGGCAGGGTTTGGCGGGTGGGTCCGGGCCCCTTCGGGCACATGCATGCATGGGGGAGAGAACAATGCCGTCTTCTTCCGGGAAGGGGCATTAGGGTTACCTTCCTTACCTTGTGGTCTTGGACCCCCGGGGCACGCAGCCGGTATGCTTGGGTGTGTATCGTCATCGTATCCGACGGTTTGAAACCGTCGAACTTCTGCTATTCTCGGCTTGGTATTATCTTGACCTCCTGTCCTCTTGGGAGTTTGTGGTGGTAAATACCATCGCCTCAACTCCTTACAATAGCCGCTTCGACGACCGAGCGATAGCAGCCGTTGTGGCTCGAGTGATGCGTTTGATATATTCCCCGGCTGACAGGTGCTACAGTGAGTTGTACGCGGACTACCGTAGCTCCAGTTCTTCTAGTGCTCTCGTTTTTTAGTCCATCGGAAGTGAATTTCACACGTACAGTGGTCGGAGCGTTGATTCGCTGTCTAAGGGCCGAGTGAGAATAAGACCGCTACTCGAGTTGAATGTCGATCGAATGCAGCGCCTTGGCAGTGCCAGGTAGCGTTGTCGCTTTGTAGTTCCTAACATGAACACGTATCAATACATTTAGCTTGCTCGCACTGTATCATGATTTAGTTCACATGGTGCTTTGAGGGGAAGAGGGACAAACGGGGTGCAGTGTTTTGCGATAAAGAACCCCTGGCATGCAGTATATAGGTGCGGCGAACTGAACGTAGGTACAGCAGTAAATTGTGTGTTTGCTTTGCCAGAGGGTTGGTTCACGAGAGATGCACGAAGGAGGAGCCGCGCCCAGTTGATCGACTCTTCTTTATCTTGCTTTATTTGTCGTTTCTTTAGCTGGATTGGTTTTGGTTGTATATAGTGTTTGCTGCAAGTACTTTGTAGAAATCGCGAAGTAGACTACGGGCAGTCGTTGGAAATGCGTACAACGAATTGAAGATAATTTGTAGAAATCGCGAAGTAGACTACGGGCAGTAGTTGGAAAATGCGTACAACGAATTGAAGATAAGTTACCTCGAGAATTTCTCAAGCAAGTGCAAGTCTCGTGCAAGGATCAAGCAAGGTGTCAACATTCTGCTTGATTGTATCACCCCGCCTTGGTTATCTTCGAAACCAATTAATAATGGCAATGGTGATGGGTTGTAAACGTCCCGCAGTGCTTTGTTGTTCGGGGTCGGCGACGCAACTCTGTCACGGAACAACATTATTACACTAGTTAACATTTTAACGTTTGCCGCATCGGGGAAACAGGTAAGAAGCTCCTTCTTCAAGCAACTAGGCTAGGCTCACCCAACATCCAACGTCTTCTATCCAACATCCGTGCATGCAAGTCCACACCTTGACCTGCGGAGGGATATTTCGTCACAGAAGAGCACTGAACAATAAAAGGGGTAAGCTCCTGAGCATTCGACTGTCATAGCGCCAGGCAAGCAGCGCTAGCGACAACCAGCCCACGCTCTTCCCTGTTACCACACACGTACCCACACGGTGGAGCTTGTAACGAGGGTGTGCTGTGGCGGGGTGCTCACACTCCAACCAAGGGGACCCGCAGATGGGATTCTTGGGTGTAAATTCGTAAATTCCCCGCACAGCAGAGGGGGAGATGGCCACTTGCTGTTGGTTGCACACAGCGATCTGGCAAGACAGCAGGCAGAGAGCTGGCCCGGAAGATACGGAGGAAGGACGAGATCAACTGGTAGAGAGTGCACGGGCTCTGGGTTTGAGGTGTTTTTGTGGCGGCGTTGGAAGGGAGAGAAGCGGACACCATCTTGGCCTCGCATTTCGCTCTCCTTTGGTGAGTTAATTAATTCCTGTTGACAGAGAAGCGCCAGGGTGCCCGCGGGTACGCATCTACTCAACATGCGTGGTCTTTCACCACCGATAGCAGTCCGGCAGCCTGCCAAGTGTGTTCATACGCGCATTAACCCCTTCGCACACAACGCGGTTGACGATGCTAGAGATGAGCTAGGCAGAAGTTGGCAGAAGTTGGCAGAATTGCAACAACGAGTTGGATCGGGATGTGCGGGAAGATGTGATATGTTCGCCGTGTACATCTTATGCATAAAATAGCTGCTTCGAGTGACATATCAGCCACGCAGCCAGACAAATGACTCATCAGGCAGCCCACTCTCTGCATCATTGACGGTGTGCGGGTTGGGGCCAAGGGCAGTACTGTAAATGGGCGCTAGATGATGAAATGGTAAATCGGGAAGGACTTTCCGGCTCACGCGGTCAGTGGCCTAAAATTCTACCGAAGAATTCATATGCACATGTACAGCAGTATCGACAAGAAGTGTTCCCTGCACGCAGAATTGTGTGCGTCGTCCCTTTCTGTATAATTCCGCTCTCTTTTTTATGACAAAGCGAATTCTCCATCCATAGAAATTAGCCTAAGATAGATAAGCAATGAGTCCATAGCGTCAGCGGAGGCTACCTGTATTTCCTAGCTTTTTTATGCCTTGCTTCGCGCTCTCTTGTTTATTGTCCGTCAGTGATATTGGGAGCCAATCAGATAATTAAATGGAACCGGCACGGAACACTACCAAACCCCAAGTTTCTCTTGAAATGTGCCCCCCCCCGTTGGAACTTCTTTTTCTCTTCGAAAACAAGGAACCCTCTCCAAATATCGTATTCGTAGAGGACAGGAAAGCTGGAGAGAGGTATCCATGCCTAAACACAATCGGGCGCCTCCCGCGTCCAGCCCGCCAGCCACGCCCCCCCGGACGCGGCATCGGCAGGGGCAATCTTCTCCTGCACCGAATACGGAGCCTTCCACCCAGGAGCCACCGGCGTCAACCCTTCTGCCGCCGCCGATCCTGGCCAATGCAACGGTGGTTCTCTCCTCGGACAAGTTGGAAGATCTTCCGTGTTTCGACCGCGCGAGCATTGGAGCCGCGCCCTCGGTCAACGCAAACCGGGTATGGCTCCCCGGCCAGCAGGTATACCTCGGCATCCTCCCTCTGGCGGAAGCGGTCGCGCAGCTCGCGCCCCTGGCGACGACCATCCCGCCACTTCCGAACGCCGAGAATTTCCACGCTGCTCTGGCCCGCGGCGAGTCGATCGAGCATGGGGCAGGAGGGGGTGATGCCTCGCCAGAGTTCCGCGCGCACCTCGGCAAGCGGGTCGTCGCGGAGTGCGTCGTCCGCCTCGCTCACAGGGCCGGGCTGCTCAAGAAGGGGGAATGCTGCGTCATTCTTCCTACGGCGGGCGAGCTTGAGGCATTCGAGCCTGGATCGTGGGGTACCAGCGCGGGAGCCCAGGAGGAGGAGCGGCATCCGCCGTTCCAGGGACTGGAGCGGCAAGCGCCGTCCCACGGACTGGGCATCGGTGGCATGCTGCGGCGTTTCAGCTCCTTTACGCTGGAGCATCCCGAAGGCGTGGCACGAAGAGCTGGGGATGTGGGCGGCGGGGCAGCACAGGCGGTGGCGGCCCCCGCGCGGAACAGCGAGCATGAGGATATCGTTGCTCTCTCCACCCAGCCGAAAAGCGAAAGCGAGGTGAGATCTCGCGTGCAACATGGTATACGACAGTTTGGAAGAAAGTTTGTCTCTTGGATATTTTCGCTTTTTGGCTTACAAACGTTGATCTGGTCGAACGAGGTGCGCATTTACCTTCCCGTTTCCTCTCACCCGGCTACACCAGCCGAAGGGGGACATCCAATCTGCACACGCACCGAGATGCATTACACAGGGTTCGAGTTTTGCGTTTTTTCGACCGAATATGCACCATTGAATTGCCCGTTCAATGCACATCCATCCAGGCATAGCCGGAAGCACTTCTAGGTCCATACCGTACAGCAGTCGCCTTTTATGTGCCTACGCCTTGTCATCGGTAGTGCCATCTGGGCGTTGCGGCTGGGCTCCCCGTGGGTTCTTTGGGCTTGCTAACACGTCGTCGAGATACCCCGGTCCCGTCGGTTCCGCCTGTCTACGCTTACGCAGAACAAAAGTGGTTTGGTGCAACATACGGCTGCTGAGTTCGGACCTCTCCCCTCTCCCTTGGGCACAGACCTCCCGCAGGAGTACGCACTTGCAGCGAGTTAGCTTGGGCCTTGCGATTTGGACGGCTCTTATTCTTCGTCGAGCCATGTAGTTGGCGGCCACAAAGAATGTAGATGTTCGTATGGCTACCCTTGCGTTTTCGGCGTGTGTCAGTCGGTAGCTTGAAGTTGTCTTGGCTTTGTGAGGCGGTAATCTGTTCTGCGGCCCGGTGTTCAAGAAGTGGTACGTGTATGCAACGGAAGTTTGGGTAGGTCCGCCAGCTCAATACTTTGCATCAAGTGATGAGCGACGGTGTCGAAAGTAGACGAATATTGGGTCACGTTGGCTGCGGCATGCAGGTGTGGATCTGCGCGTTGGTTCTTGGTTGAGAGAATATGCAGTGACCGATTCCACGTATGTGTGGCCACGGCGAGGCTATGACCACAGCAATGGAGCACGACGGAAACGCCTGCATCGGGAGCACTCGATGGCACACCCGGAGGCCGGCATTTCCCAGGTTCATCGCACCCTTCACAGCCCTATTTCTAGTGCGATTGTTCGCACGTTCACGGTATTTCATGGCCGTGTCGTCTGACAACAGCTCCGTTCTCACCAGTTTGGTATTTTGCTATTTTCTGTAACCGTCCATGAAATCCTCCAGCCCCTCTGTGCGATGGCGTCGGCGGATCGTGACGCACTGATCACCCTGTTTCACGAGACCCGTGGGGCTAATTGGAGGGAAAAGGGCAACTGGGGCACAAGTGAGGTGCTGGGGACATGGTACGGGGTGGACGTGAACGCAGAAGGCCGCGTGGTTAAGTTGTCGTTGTACAACAACAACCTCCAAGGTACAACTGGCGTTGGCGTTGTACGTTTGCAGAGATTTTCATGGTGTCGCGCTCTCTCTGGCGGTTGTTAGCTTGATCTTTCCCGAGCATTCGTCGACAGAAAGGATCCTTTCCACGAGGTCGCAAATTCCCTAACATCTGCGAACGAAACGTTGTACGGTGGCTTCTTCTGCTAAGTACCATTTGAACGTAAGTTTCTTCCCCGTAGTGCCGACTTTTAGTGTCTCTACGCTGCTACACTTCCAAGCATAGCAGACCACTGCAATCTTACTCCGTAGTTTCGGGGCATGAGGCCACGCAATCTAGAATATTTGTCTCGCCAAAGCTTGAGCAGGGTGTGGACGGGGCGAAGACATGTATGAGAATATTGTGGTGATTTTTGTGGCGCGTTTACTCGTGCCCACGACCTTGCGCATTTTCCTACCGCAGGGCTTCTACCGCCGGAGCTAGGCAAGCTTGGCGCTTTGGAACATCTGGCTCTTGATGCGAACTGGCTGAGCGGTGAGGCGTTTAGTTTTTTCGAGATTGCGGAAATATAAATGCCACCCATGCGTGGGCGAGTCCTGCTTGTCTTTATTCATCATGCTTTCCGCTGTGCTGCTCGTGCAGGGCACATCCCCGAGGTGTTGGGAAATCTCAGCAACCTTAAGGTGCTTTCGCTGCACAACAACGGACTAAAAGGTGCGATGCAACCCGAAGTAGAAAGCGCAATGTCCCCCCGGAACATGTGTCCCACCCACGGGCAGGCCATTCAATTGGGGTATATTTAGATCCGAAGCTTACGTGGTATCAGAACGGTGGCTGTCAATCGCTTGTCGCTTGTACAGGATTCATTCCGAAGCAGCTGGGAGCCCTCACCAAGCTGGAGAAGCTGCTGCTGTACAACAATAAGCTATCGGGTAAGATGCAGTGACAGCGATTGGTTTGTTGCCGGACTTCTTGTGGACTTCTTGTGACGGTTTTCCACCGGCTTCTTAACACCGGTTGCACGTCTTGCCGTGGGCGCGACACACGTTATAACTGTGCGGTCTGCCGGCAGTTTGACGTTGTAGCTTCTTGTTGAGGTTCCATGCCGCCGGAGCTAGGCCGTACCGAGCTGGAGAGGCTAGCGCTTTCAGTAGTCACAATGTCACAACGTCACAACCAATCGACAGCCGAGAAGCGTGGACTACGAGTTTCTTTCGCAGATACTACTATCTAATTCGCGGCTGGAACGTCTGCTACACCTCGCGCCAGCGTGACAATTTCATTTTCTCCGGAAATTCAGAGCCGACACCACAGCTACGCCTATTTTCAGCAAGGCTATGGCGCTGAGACCGAGAATGGCAGTGTACGGTGAAGTTCGCTGACTTCGCACCATGTCATCACTTGTTCTGGTCCTGGAAGCATTAGTTTGTACCTCTGTCACGCTACGTAGTATACAAAGGCCCGAACTGAGTGCGCGCCGTGCGTTTACGTCACTGAGTCTTTGGTGCCCGCTATCACGCACGCGGGGAGGTGCGAATAAACCTTGACCAGCGAAGCCAGCGATTCCTGTACAGAACACGCATCAAATACTGCCGTTGGCGTACGTGGAAATCCCCCCCCCCCCCTCCGCCCCCCCCGGTGTTTGTCATCGGGGTTGGGTTTTCGTCGCTTGGCAACGACGTTGTAAAACAAGCCAATTCACTTCGTGAACTCGGCAACCAGGTTACCGTTTTTTTTTTTACCTCTGTTTTTTTTTTTTGCGGCAACCATAATGGTGGTCGAGTAGATCATGTTGTGCGGGGTCGAGGACCCTCACTCCGCGCAACGGGGGATGATCGCACCACGTTGTGTTAAAATGGTCAAGCATCCTCGAGGCAGTTACACAGTGCTTACAACTGTCTTTGGAAGTGAAAGCACCAGAAAATAAATTAAGTCATACGCAGTTGTCATCCGTACGCAAGCAAGTAAGCACAAGATCCCGAACACCTTTAGCAGGATGCAGCTCACCCTTCATGGGACTCGCCGAATCCCTCACGGTGTTTCGCGCTTGGTGGTGTGAGAGCCTGGTCCGGTGAGAACCCGGCGTGCTCCGTCCCGGCTTTGTAGGGATGCCAGAAAAATGGTCTAACGATTACGGCATGCACGATTATGAGTACCCCCCCCCCC